TAAAAGCAGACACATGGACCATTGGAACAGCATAGAAAGCCCAAATATAAACCTGCACAGTCTATAGTCAATTGATTTTTCAACAAAGATACAAAGAACAGTCTCTTCAATAAACGGTGTCAGGAAAACTGAAGAATTGATCCTCATTGCAGACCATAAGCAAAAATCTACTCAAAATGTATTAAATACTTAAACATAAGGCCTTAAACTATAAACCTACTTGAAGAAAACAGAGTGATATAATTCTATCCCCTTAGGAGGCTGAGGCAGGAGGATCACAAGTATGAGGCCAGCCTAAAAAGTCAGCAAGATCCTATTTCAAAATGAAAAAAAAAGAAAGAGCTGGAGATGTAGCTTAGTGCTAGTGTGCTTGCAAGCATGCACAAGACCCCAGGTTCAATCCCCAGTACCCAAAGGAAAAAAAGGAGGAAAACAGGAGAAACTTCCATGACATTGATGTGATCAATAATTTATTGGACATAACTCCAAAAGCACAGGGAACAAAAGCAAAAATAGATAAATGAGACTTCATGCAACAAAGTCAAACTCATAGAAACAGAGACAATGGTAGTTACCAGAGCCTCAGGAGAAGGTGAGTAGGCAAGGCGATGGATGTGTTTATTAGCTTGATTTAATAACATCAGGTGATACATATATGTATCAAAACTTCACATTGTACTCTGTGGACCCTGGAGTTACAAACAGACTGGCATAAAAACAATTTGGGTTACAACAGGAACTTTGGTGTTAAGTTATGAACAAAGTCTGAGTTATGACCCGAATGCTGGCCACTTGTGCTTCCAGATGATCTCAGATACAGACTTAACCCTTAGAGAATTCTGGAAGGAACATGACAACATCCTTTCCCATGTGGGGTTCACTGAGAAATCCCGGGCCAGTGCTCTCTAAGGACACTGAGATCTGCTGTGAACAGGAGAGAGACTCTGAAGGCTGTGGAGAGGAGCCTGAGCCTTCACTGACCAACTTGAGTTACAACCAGCCCTCAGGAATGAATTGAATTCGTAAGTCAAGGGTCCATTGCATTGTCGGCTAAAAAAAAAAAAAGCTGAACATGAGAGCTAGTAGAGGACTAGCTAATCCGTGGACTCTGTACTTTTTAATTTACCTCTATGTATGGCATCCCCAAGACCTGAAAGCGAGGCTTCTCAGTGATCCTGGCCAATCCCTCTCCACTATCGCGTGCACCCAACCCTCACTGCATCTCCTTAAGCCTTTCCTAGTGTTTTCTTCTCATTCCTGTCAAATTTCTAGAGGTGACAAAAGCCATTTTTATTTGAACTGTTTTCTTCTAATTCAATTGTTTCCAGTCTCCGTCCCTCAAAACCTCTGTAATCTGAGAATATTTTCCTAAATTTGGCTCAGATTATGTAACTTCCTGCTTCAATAATCTTCAATGACTCCAAATTTGCAAAGGTCTCCAGAATAAATTCTAACTCCTTGTGGTCATGGCATAAATAACACCAGAGAGCGCATGGTGCATAGGCAATGGTGTCAAATAGAATTTTTTTCTTTTTTTCCTGGTACCCAGGACCTTGGGCACGCCAGGCAAGTGCTCTACCACTAAGTTACTTCTCACCCACAGAACTATTTTTTGGTTTGTTGTTTTTGTTTTGCAGTACTGGGGATCAAACTCAGGACCTAGTGCACGGCGCCACTGAGTTACATCCCTGGCTCCCATAGAGCTAAGTTTTGAAAACTACATCCAAAGAAGCAATGTGCTGAGAGTCACTTTCACCTCTTCAAAGCTCAGATTTCCGATGAGACACAGAGAAAACACACGAGATTATAAAGACTGTGTCTGGCCCAGCATGGAGCACAGGACTCAATCCCCGTCTCCCCACTTTCCTGCCCAGACCAGCATTTCACCCGATGGTGCCTTTACCCAGTCACAGCCATTGTGTACCCACAGGCAGCTATGGCTCGTATACCATTATCTTCTTCTGTGTGCACTGCATTTATTATAAGCATATTTAGGAATAAATACTATTTTCAGTAATCTTTTCTCCTATTCTATATTTAAAATGTCTTAAGGGCAAAAGTTTAATCTTCATCTTTGTATCTCCCACACTCCACTCTATTACACACTGTACATAATGAGAACTCTATGTTTACTAAATTGGATTGAGTTATCATTTTATATGATTTATCCAAGTACTAAAATAAAAAATCTTTTCCATGTAAGAATTCTACTCCCCTAGCACCCAACAAAGGCCTTGGAGTAGTGTTCCTGGAATTTTGCTAATTTGTGTCCAACTCTTTTAAAACTAGTGCTTTTTATACCATAGAGATACATGCATACCCATGTTTACTGCAGCACTAGTCACAATAGCAAAGTTACATAGCCAGTTTATGAATGAGTAAAGAAAATGTGGTACATATACACAACAGAATATACTCAGTCACTAAACAATGAGTGAAACTGTCATTTTGGGGAAAATGGATGGAACTAGAGATCGCTTTGAGTGAAATAAGCCAGACTCAAGTGTCCTGTGTTTTCTCTCACATGTGGAATGTAGTGCGGGGGGCGGGGAACAAAGATGACATGAAAATAGAAGGGGAGCTATTAGAGAAGAAAAAGTATGCCAAGGGAAGGGAAGGGAAGGGAAAAAACGATAATGAATGGTAGATGCAATTAGTTTGTTATATATGTGCATTAAAATGTCACAATGAAACCTATTGTGTATAATTAGTATGCTAACTAAAAGTAAGGGCTTTTTAGTTGTTTTTTTAAAAAAGGGGATGTGCAAAAGACAATCATAACATCTACTAAATCCATCATTACTTCTGGGGAAAAAATGTTCAAGGAAGATCCGTTTCTTTCCTGTTTGCAAGTTTTGCAGGACTGGGAATGGAACCCCGGCTTTGAGCATTCCTTGAGTGCTATACCCCTGAGCTGTATCCCAACCCCCAAGAAGATCCGTTTTCACAGTATTAAACAGTAAAATTATTGTGTTCTAGAATACGAGTTTTTAGTTGAATGGGTTTCTATTTTGTTTCCACAGAAACTAAAACCTGAGAAAATGAGTTTAAAATGTTTACTAACTTTACAGTGCTTCAGCTCAGATTAAAAACAATTTCCCATTTTATTTTTGGTAAAGGATATGATCAGCTAATCTTCAAATGGGTTAAAATTAATGTGGTCGCTCTGATTTTTTTTTAACCCATCTTGAAAGTAAAATAACATAAAGTGAAAGTGAAACTACAATCAATATATGGTTGAAAAGTTGTCAATAATATAACTTTTAACAGTTGCTGATTCTTTAAAAATAGAGGCCTGTTAAGGTCAAGGACTTGAGTTAGAGACACTCAAGGGTTGAATTTCCTAGCGCTTTAGACTTTGACTAAATTCTCTCCAAACCTCTGCTTACTGACCTGTGAAATAATAGAATTTGTCTGAGGGTTGCTGTGAGAATGAAACGAATGCACTGGGAAGGAATAGTAGCTTTAACGACAACCATCGTTCTATACAAGGAGTGACCAACATGTGCGGTTAAATATTTAAATTTAAGAAAACTTAATACAGGGGATGTAGCTCAGTGGCACCGCAAGCCCAAGGTCCTGAGTTCAATCCCCAGTACCAAAAAAAAAAAAAAGAAAAGAAAAAAGAAAACTTACTACAGGAAAAGGTACATTGCCAATAATGATGGGATAAGTGCTCAAAACGAGAGGAAGTCTTTCCGGTACGTAAGGGGATTACGGCAATGTGTCTCTGACAATAATAAATACTTTAAATTTAAATATTCACTGTATTTCTTGGTCATCCCTCATTGTTCAAACATGTACAGCAACCTGTCAAATAAAGACATCACGTGTGCCCCATCCGCCTTCTTCACCGGAGGCAGTGAGACTCCTGGCTCTCCCCAAAGTCAGGACGCCCGGAAGGGTGAACGATTTCAGTGGATTCAGGGGCTGCGGCGGCCGCGAGCACTGCTAGACCCTCAGGAAAGAGGACTCCGGAGATGGCGCAGGAAGCGGCCAGGACCGCGGGACAAGTGTGGGGCGCGAGGCGGAGGGGATGGAGGGAGACTCGCGGCGAGTCCTTTGCTCAGGAAGCCAGGAAGCCCTTTCCAAATGCCAACCTGTACCTTCCGGTCACCGCACAGGGCGCACAGGCAGCGGCCCCCTGCCCCGCCCCCGCCGCGGACGCCCGACACCCCACCCCCACCCCACCCCCCCGCAGTGGGGTCGCGAACCTCGGCATCCGGGTGACGGCGCTGTGCGACCCTCGCTTCCAGGAGGGAGATGGAGGCGGTGAGTCGGGAGGGACGGGTGGGATAGGGAGGCTTCGGGCCGTGGGGCGAAGCCGGACTGAGCAGGCGGGCGAGCGGCGTCGCATGTCAGCGCCTTCCCGCCGAAACTTCTCGGCTTCCGGGACTCTGGCTCCTGCCAGCCTCTGCCCGGCGCCCCAGCCAGGTGGGGCTGCGCTTCGGCGGGCTCAGTAAGGCGGAGCCTGACAGCCCGCAGGGACACCCGGGCCTGCTGCGGCGCCGAGCCCTGAGGGCTGAGGCGGCCGAGGCGGGGCCCGTGAGCGCGCCAGGCTGAGGCGGGAAGCGAGGGCCCCTGGGGCGCGAGGCCCAATCAGCGCTGGCGTCCAATCAGCACACGCGGCCGCTGCGCACGAGGCCGGCGGACGGTCGCGACCGTTGAGGCTCCCGCCGCCGCAGAGGCGGGCTCGCCCGGCACCATTTCCCGCTGGCTGGCGTTCTTTTCCCTCCCGCACGGTGCTGGGGAGGGGGCGGCGGCTCGCGTCGCTGGCCCGATGCACGATGGCCTGAGAGGGCCGGAGAAGGTGGGAGCGGGCAGCCCACGGCCCTGACGGTTGGCCGTCCTCCGGCCCGGAAGTGGTCGCCGCGGAACCCGACGCCGCCCCTGGCTCGAAGACGGGCCCCGGTTCCAGGACGTCCTCTCCCGGGGCTGGGCCCGGCGGCGACCTCGCGCGCGTGGCGTCCCGTGGTGGCAAAAGGCAGCCCGCGGTAGTGAGCTTGGGGTGTGAGGAGCGGCGCCCGGGAGAAAGCGGGTCTTCTCTGCTCGGGACAGTGGCGCAGTCTCCGGCCGGGCGGGAGGCCTCCCTGCCTCACTCTTCCTCGCTAAAGACCGGTGGAGTTTGTTTTCTATCGGAACAAGTGGCGAAACAATGAGCGCATCCACTGCAGTCTCGTTTTCAGGAAGACTGATTTAGTACATGGGCAAGTGACCGAAAGGCAGGCTCCCGTCCGCCAGGCCTACGGGCTGTTTCCAGGCAGGAGACTCCTCCGCCGAGACGGCAGGCGGCACCCAGTCGGACTCTGTCGCCGCGCTGTCCCCTGTCCCGTGAAGTGACTGAAGCTCGACGTGAGCTCCATGCCCCAGGGAGGAAGATGGGATCACGATCCCAGTTCCCTGCATTGGGAAATTAGGACCTAGGAAATCGGGGGCTTCTCGGTAATTTAGAGGAAATACCTGTGCACTCTGCACGAGCGGCACATGGCCCCCAAGACCCCATGAGAAGATCCGGGAAGTCCCAGGTCTAGTGCAGTGGTCCCAGTGGCGTGCTTGCTTCTCAACCTCTTGCAGAGATTAAGTTAGGGATTATGGTTGTATTTATTGAAAGTGAGAAAGAACAACTCTACTACCAAAGCCAAAAGTTAATTCCATGTATTTGTTTCTCAGTTGGAATTAGGAACTTCATTGCTTCTGAAGCACTCATTTAGTATGTTAAACTGTCTCAAGCGTCTGTTTAGAGTTCCCCCAAAGAAAAATAATTAGCAAGTGTTTTACTAGGTTGCTCTCCAAAATTCCATTCTCTGTTGTCATTCTCAGTTGTACCTTAGAAGTCTGTTAGCATGCCATTGTGAAAAGGCTTGTGCATTTATAGATATTTATGAAATTTAAAGGAGATCCTCTGATGTAGGACTGTGAAATATGAATATGTACTGAGCTCATTTCTTTGTATAAAGATTTATATCTATGAGCTACAGGTAAATAATTTTTTTTACAAAATCACTCCAGTCTTTACACAAGTGTATTTAAAAATTTGACTTCCCAAAAATACTGAACTTGATTGAGTGCATTAGTCAATGATCTTTAGCCCAAAACCACCAAGAAGACACCTGTAGTTTAGTAAGATTGGGTTCTTGTAGAACAAGGAATATACACTATGTGGCCTCTTAAGTCAGAAAAATGTTAAAAATTATTTTCTGTGAGGTGTAAGTGATTTTTAGACAAGGTTTCAGAAGAAAGGCTTTATTCTAGAATGCATGTTATCAAGAAAGAGTATTTCTATGATTCTGTATGCTAATTCTTAAAAGCAAAAGAAAGATCAAGGCTAAAGCTATGACTGATAAAGGAGGAACAGTCACTCCTCTGCCAGAAGAAAGGTCATTCATTCCTGAGGTTTGGGCAATGCTTTTGTTTTTGTCAGTGTGCAGACATGGTAGAGTGATCTTGGGTTGGTTTCTTTGTTTTGTTTTGTTGAGACAGGGTCCTCCTATGTAGTCCAGGCCAGCCTTGAACTCACTATGTAGCCCAGGCTGGCCTCAAACTAAACTCGTGGCAATCCTCCTGCCTCAGCCTCTGGAGTGCTGGGATTATAGGCATGTGCCACCGTGCCTGGCTATCTTGTTTTTATCTTGATCCGTCAGTCATGGAGTGACCTTGTCTGACCTTGGTTTTCAACAGGAGAACATCATAGCCTATCTGTGATGCTGGCCAACTCCTGCTATCACCTGGGTGGACCTAGGTGGTTATGCCAGACCCACTCCCAGTTATCTAGGACTGCTTTCACTTCCTTTTCTTTTTGATTTAATACTTTTCCTTAATAACTAAATGTATTTAATAATTACTGTAAGCATATTTAAGTAATACATTTAATAGTTTAAGAATATTCCTATGGTAGAATCTGTTTATTTTTTTGTTGCCCCAAAAGCTATTGACTCTAATTATAATCCTCTCAATAGGAGAATAAAAGTCAAGTCTATAATACCACATTTTGCCTAAGTGACTTATCTTCTTGTAAGATACATGTTTACAGCTTGTATTAAAACTCATACCTCCAAAAAAACTCATACCTAGTGCTGAAAGTTTAAAATAATTTTATTTTACAGCAAACATCAAATCAGACACAAACAGATTCCCCATCCCCTAATCCTGTGTCACCAGTGCCTTTGAATAACCCAACAAGTGGCCCAAGATATGGAACTGTGATACCCAATCGCATCTTTGTAGGAGGAATTGACTTTAAGGTACTTATTTTGCATGCAAAATAGAGTAGTGCGGTGACTTTTTGTACAATTTTTTGCATTACAAGGTATTTCTCAGGTTGTTTGTGCAACTATAGAGATATGTAACATATTTGGGTATTAATAGGTTTTAGATTGTCTTAATTTAAAGAAGCTGTATGTAGGTTAAGTAATACAAGTATAATAGTTTCATTTCATATACAAGGAAATTGAAGCTCATTTACATTCTGTATGCTCCTAACTATTTAGTGGCAGACTGAGACTAGAATCCTACGTTTCTGACTCAGTTACATGTTCTTCATGTCACCATACCACACTAATTATACTTTCTTATATACTATGCCAATTACTCAAATAATGGGTGATTAAAATTTTCAAAAAAAGACTCAAGGAAAACTTACTGTCAACCTTTATTTGTGATTCCTTAGCAACCCCCTAGACTTCAATCTTCCAAATAACTTTCTGTAATGGAATTTAGAATTTGATCACCACAAAGCCCTCTGACATTGTCAGAGTAGAGCATCTTGACAGTAATATACTCTAAGTCAGGTAATTGGCCATTTCACTTTAGAATCACAGATATGAGTTGTTTGGCAGCACCCCAGATGGAAGATAGTAAGCACCTACAAGAAAGGCAAGTGTAAATATCTAAAGTCAAGCACTCTAGCTTCCAAATGGATACATAGAAGGATTCCTAAGTTTTCATATCATGCATTAGAAATCATAGGGAGAGATATCTATTTAACAAGAAAGAAAAATCCTTATGCCATTCGGTATGATATTTGACATTTATACATTATCATTTTCAAATAATCTGTCACTAGGTAGAATTACTTTTTTCCTACTTAAAAAAAATCTTATACTTAGAATGTTTGCCAAAATAAGTCTTATGTATGTGATTGTTTCACTAAAAATAAAAATTATTTCTTGTAAGGTTATTTATTTTTTAAAAGATTTTCTGCATCTGTGAAAAAAAATGGCTGACCAGAAGTGTTCAGTATGGGCATTCCTGTTCAGAATTCATACAACTTAGTGTATTTTTAAAATAAGTCATCAATAAACACAAATGTTGCTATGGCCAAGTTATTCTAAATTACCAAAGCCTGCAGTATGAACTTTGGAGACCATTGTTACTATACAGCCGTAGCTTTCAGGTAGCTGATTGGGTTCCTTCCCTTTGCTTCTGTCCTTTCCAAGACCATAGATAAATGCCAGCAGAGAAGCTGTTCACTGTAGTAGCAAGCAGTCTTAGACTTTTTAAACACCTTCTTTTTAGAAGCCTGCAGACATCCCTCTTAATGTTTAATCATCTTGACTTTCTGTCCTTCACTTGGGTGAAGAAGTCAGAGATGCAAAATTGAGCTGACGATACTTCTACTAGAGAATAGCTTGAATTAACGTGTTTTTAAATCTCTAATAATTCTTATTCTAGCACATTCCATTTTGTGTTTATTGGAATAAAATAGGTTCACTTATTCTTAGATTAACTCAGTATTTGTCATCTTCCAGATTAGCAGGCTTTGTATTATCAAGCAAAAACCAATAGTGCATTTAAATAGTTAGCAGTTGAATTCAAAAGGCACAGCTATGCTCTAAGGCATGTCTACTTCCTACATAGATGAAGACATTTTCCCCTAGGGACATTTACTCTTAGAGACAGACCATTGCAACTGAACCAGAAAATGAAATTGCCCTTAATTTAGTATACATACTCTGAGAAAAGGTGCAATGAATCTGTTATCAGACTATTTCAAATAAAACCAGATGTGCCCAAATGGTCTTTATATACATCTTATATAAGTCTAATTATGATTCTCGTGTTTACTTTGAATATCGTGTCTGAACTTAAATGTATATTGAATACAGACAAAAGTATCTATTTTAAATCTTGTAGACAATCCATTTTTCTCACAAATTGAGTTCAAGTTCTTTAGGAAATACATCCCTTTTCCACAGCGTGACTCTTCTTGGAGACTGCTGATTATTATAAAGTGACTGGTGTAGGACAACTCATGTAGTTCCACTCCATGATTGTTTATCCCCTCGAGTCACCAGAGCCAACAGTAATGTGTCATTACTATGGTTGTAGCTCTTAATCCAAAGCAGTTTTTTAAAAACTGGCTAACTACAGAATAAGAGTCACTTAAAGATTTTTTTTTAAATAGTGAAGCTTCTTTATAGTTTCAGAATATGTAATTCAGCTTACATGTTTTTGATTGTATATAATAGTTTTAAGAACACACCTAATGTATAAAACAAGATATATTGACTTTAATAATCTAATGGTTTCATGCACTATTTTAATGAGAGACATTTAATATTTATAACATTTTCTGTCTCTAAAACAAGCGTAAGTTATTTCATCTTCTATTAATTATATCTTTTTTCTTTTTATGCCATTAGACAAATGAAAATGATTTAAGAAAATTTTTTTCCCAGTATGGGTCTGTAAAAGAAGTGAAGATCATAAATGACAGAGCTGGAGTGTCTAAAGGGTTAGTACTACTGCAAATAGTACAGAGAATTAACAGTTGTATTTTTATTGGATGCTACTAAATGTTGTGTGCTAATTTCTTCTGTTTCATTTTTTTGGTTTTTGGTTTTTGGTTTGGTTTTTTTTGAGGCAGGGTATCTGCCTTTGTAGTTCAGGCTGGCCCTGAACTCACTGTGTAGCCAAGGCCAGCCTCGAATTCAGTGATCCACCTGCCTCAGCCTCCCGAGTGCTGGGATTACAGGCATGCACCACCACGTCCGGCTCTGTTTCATTTTTTGACCAAGAATTTCATGCCATCTTTTTTCCTCCTGACTTTTGATCTCCCTGTGCATGTTTTGGTGGAGTAAGGAGGGACACTATAATATCCCTTAATTTCTTGGGAACTTATTCTTCTGTGGTCTGAAGGGGCCATTCAGTGTCAGGCAGCAAGCCTTAATGTTGAGGGGCAAATTGTACTGTAGGAAAGGAATCAGAAGTTAAAAGGTCAGATACTTTTGGAACTGTATTCCTGCTTTATACTGTGGAGTGCTCCATCTGAAAACAGCTGACCCCATGGAAGGTCTGTAGGTTATATCTCAGAGACATAATTAGAAGAGTAATATGAAAAATACAATGAGAATGGTTTTTCTCATCTTAAAGAGAATGAAAATTGAAAAGAAAGAAATAAAATGTGTGAAAATTTATATAGCACTCTTCAAGTGAATTGCTATGTATAGAAGCCAGATTTCAGAGAAAAAAATGCAGTTTGCCTAGTATGTTCACTTAAGGGGTTATACTATAAAAGAAAACAGAAATAAAAATTTTAACATCTGTCAGTAAAAGATTGTGTTTATTTTACTGAAGGAGAGGCATTACATACATAGTTATAGACATAAGACAAAGGACCAATAAGGTGGGTAGAGAATAGTATTACTGAGCAACAAGAGATAAGTATAACAGGTTGAAGAGATGGGACCCCACAGGGATGTTAAACATAAAATACTTCCACAGACTTCCAAAAATATTAAGATGAATTAATATTACACTGCTTTGTTTGGTAATTAGACTTTGAATTAGTTTTATAATACCCCTTTTCATCACGGAAAAACACACATTGAAATGCGTATATCTGTATTTTATGTGTTTTCCATTGGGTGGTGTATGTGTTCTACAAAAAAAAATTTAGTGTAAAAATAATTCCTTTATTTAATATTGAGGAAAAGAGATAAAAAGAAATGCCTTTGTTAAAAAAGAAACTCTACATATGATACAATAATTATGAAATGAAAACATGGAAATCAGGATATTTAGCATTAGTCAAAATAGTTTCATTTAGTTTCTAAATAGAACTGCTTTGATAGATAGACTTCTTTATTTCTTTTTTTCTACCTAGTTTGGTTTCTTGGACATGGCATACAATATGTTTTCATATCTTGAACATTATATGAACTGTACGTGAAGGTAGCAATCATATAGGGGAAGTAGATGTAAAACCTAGGTTGTATACATTTCTAGTTGATATTTGAGAAATGTACAATTTATTGTGTTAATAATAAAGTATATATCTTATATAGTCTTTTACCAATACAAATAATTTTACTATGTTAAAATTTTAATTTTCTAAAGTTCCTATTTGTACTTTGATTATTGTATTTAAACCTATTATTTTAAAAGGACATTATTGCTCTGGATTGAAATTCATCATGTCCCAATTTTTAAGTCAAAATAAATGAATCTCTCATGCTTTTCTTCCTTACATAAAGTTCAGGTTTCTTTTTTCTTTCAGTCCCCCAACTTTGGAAAGAAAAGGTGACAGTGTTCATCTGTGAATGAGTCTTCTAACATCCCCATGCTTATGTGTCATAGAAGGAGGCTTGCTCCTACGGTGGCCTATTCTTAATAGAATTTTTTCAAATTTTAATCCAGAGATGGGGGGTAACTCAATGGTATTACATTTGCTTAAAATGTACAAGGCCCTGGGTTTGATTCCCAGCAGCACAAAATAGAAACTAATATATGTGTGTGTGTGTGTGTGTGTGTGTGTGTGTGTGTGTATATGTGTATATATATGTGTATATATATGTGTATATATATATGCTAAGAAAATGATTAGTAATAATTACTACATTTATTTAGGTATGGTTTTGTCACTTTTGAAACACAAGAAGATGCACAAAAAATTCTGCAAGAGGTAAGCTCTTTTGATGTATTTAACTTCATTTTGGATCAATTCTGTATGGTGCTTAAAAGTAGAGTACAATGATCAATTGCTAAAAAAAACACCTTATATGCATATTAAGATTGCCATTGGTCTTTAAGAAAATGTCTGCAGAAAAACAAATTATGAATCATTATTTGAGTGTGCTTGTGAAGTCACAATATAAGTTTTCAAGCTTTTTGCTTAACAATTTGGGGATGTATCTTTAGTAAGGGTTATCTGAAAATAGTTAACTTCTATGAAAAACTGTATCAGTAGAGGCAAACCTATCGCACATGTGCCATACCGAGCTGTTTATATTATTGAAAGCTCTGTTGTGTTTTTCCTTAAAGACAAAAGGTTGTTTTTTCTAAAGTAAAACCTCAGTATTCAGGTTTAATTGCAGTGTTGGCGCTTTGTGATAAGTAAGTAGATTTTCAGTTGCAGTTTGGTTACTCGGTCTCACCATCACTGTTTCACGTAAACAAGGAGCATTCATAGAAGAAGTCTATAGCCTGCAGATAAGTGTAATAACTTTAAGTTGTAGCAAATGTAATACTCAGTTTTTTTATAAAAATGTAAGAGTTTGAATTGTATACTGTCAAAGTCATAGATAGTCAATTCTTGTTCCATTAGTCACAGTAGTTACATGCCTTAACATCTCCATGAATGCTGAGTCAGTGACGACTACACTGCTGCGCTCATGGGGAAGAAAAAGCAAGGTCAGGGTCCCAAGAGCTTCTGGTCACAGTATTACCATCAACCAGTCAATATGTAACCTCCTTTTATGTGTGTTTCCATTTAAAGATGCCATATTTAATAGATTGATGATTTCTTTTTTCTTTTTTTTTTTTTTGGTATCAGGGATCGAACTCGGGTCCTTGAACTTGCACAGCAGGCAGCAAAACCACTGAGCTAAATCCCCAGCCCCAGATTGATGATTTCTTAACATGAAATTCATGACCGCCAACACCACAATTCATGCCTCACTGAATTCAGCACCTCCAACACGTGTTTTCTCCATGACCCTTGGACAGTCGTCCTGGGCCCAGGAACACAGCTAGCACTTCAGCACTAGACTTGGAGCCATTTACATAACAGAATCACTAGCAAAAATGGGGAAAACTTAGCACCAACTAGAATATGAAAAAAACCACTTGTTTACAGTGTGAGCTGAACCAATAAGTGTCACGGTATGTGGCCTCAGCTAGGAGCTATGTGTGACTACTCAAACTTGTGACAGCTCTGTGCATGTCCAAAATAACCTCGACATCACCACAAGTACTGATTTGGGGGAGGTCACAAATACAGAACCAATGAATAAAGAGGATGAACCGTACCACAAACAGGGTGTTAGGGTCACAGCCTCAGAAGCAAGATTGGTATTCACATTACCTGAACCCAAAAACCTGCTCTTCCACTGTGCTGTGGTGCTTTCAAAGATACCATATCTGAATGTTTAAAAGTGTTACTTACTAATTTTTCTGTATTGGTTTTATATTTATACGGTGCCAAAATGATAAAATAATTTATTTTTCTTTTAGGCTGCAAAACTTATTTATAAAGATAAGAAACTAAACATTGGTCCAGCAATAAGAAGACAACATGTAGGGGTCTCTCGTATGTATTGAAAACTAATATATTCTTCTATATTTTTGCACAGTCTTTTTGTGAAATATTAGTTTTTATAGAATTATGTTAAGATACCATGTTTCTTTCATGTAATAAAGTTATTTTAGCAAAGTGTGTATATAGGTATTTTTTACCACAAATTACTTTTTTGACTAGGGAAAAATATACATAAATAATGGTAGCTAAATATATTCCCTATAGTTATATTTTTAAAGAAAAAATCTTTTATGATGAAAATACCCTTTAAAATAGCAAAAGTGGGCCGGCGATTTAGCTCAGTGGTTTCACCGCCTGCTGCACAAGCACAAGGACCGAAATTCGATCCCTGCTACCAAAAAATATACATATAAAATAGCAAACTTAAATTAGAAATAATTTAGTAACTTGTAATTACTAATTAAAATTATTTCTAATTAGAAAAGTTATTTAAAATTTATCAGTAAAAATATTGAAGGTGAGAATATAGAACTGATAGCAGAAACTTCCTTTGTGATATGTACTGTCCATAAGCACAGGAGTCATAGTCACCAGAGGGAACAGGCCTTAAGGCTTTAGGATGTGTGCCTTCCTCACATTGCTGCAGTGCTCTTGGCTCTTTTTCTTACTCTTGCCTCTTAGTACATTAAGAATCTGTATAGTTAATTTTTACCTATAAAATTATTAAAATATGAAAGAGAAACTTACCATAAAATTATAACTTTTCTTATTTTCCTAGCCACATCCTAGTGTCTACTGGGACATTTAAAACATTGCGTGGTTATCACAGCTCTCCTAACAAGTGAATGAGTTGTGATCATCTGAACTCCTCTGCTTTGACTTAGGAGCTAACAGATAATTCAACAGAACAGTTCCAAGGAGCACAACACTTGTATCTTTTACCCAGAGTACTCTTTGCCATCCATGCATTCTTAGCACAGCTCAAACATCATTTTCTCACAGATACACCATAGCATATGTTAAAGAGATTAATTTTCTGTATGTGTAAATTAATATAAATCTTCACTAGTTACCTGTATTACCTAGTAACATACCCTATACTGCCTCTTCATGTGTTTATCAAAGTTTTAATTGATTGTGTAATTAGCTAATAACTATTTTGCATACCAAAACCTAACTCATATGGACATAGAGGCTATGCCATGTCCAATTTAAAAAAAATTTTTTGCTATATCTCCAGAACCTAATTCAATGCCCTTTAATAGTATACATTACGTTATTACAGTATTCATTTAATAGATAAATTATGTTTGATTGATCTTAGGGAGAATCTGTGAACCTCCTGAATTATGTGTGATATTCTACTTGAAAAAAATAAATACATCTCTGAGAAGTCTATGGTTTCATCAGATTCTCAAAAGAATATGGTTACAAAAACACTGAAATAGACACTAACAATACTTGATCAAATGCAGTGAAAACATAAAAGCTAAGAAATAGTAATGCTGTTACAATAGTGGGCCAGTGGAACTGACAGTGTAGTTTGCAGACACCGTCAGTTTGCTTGGAGATGGTCAAAGTGCAGCATCTAGGGTCCTAGCTCAAGATGTCCAATGACAAGTCCCTGGAATTTGTATTTTAATAAACTATCTAGATGACTGTAGTGGATGTTAAATTTTGAGAAGCACAGGTATAGTTGAAGGAGTATTATCAGTTCCAGTCATTTATAAAACCTTGCTGGTCAAGTACTTAATCCAGTTTGTAACTCTATGGCAGAACAGGATGATTTGTTTTGTTGCTGTATTTGTTTTTGTTTTTGACAGTACTGGGGTTGAACCTAGGGTATTCACACTGAGCTGTATACCCAACCCTTTTTTTATTTTTTGAGACAAAGTCTTGGTGAGTCAGTAAGTTAGTTAGGCTGGGCTCAAACTTGCAGTCCTCTTGCCTCAGCCTCCCAGAGTGCTGAGATTTATAGGTGTGTGCTGTCATGCCCAGCTGATTCTTTTTGGTAAGGGGGATCTGGCTTGGAAAATGAGTTGGGACAGAACTCCAAGACTAGCTACACAAAGACTGGTCATGTTTTCAAGAGCAGCAGTGTTTTGGGTTTTTTTTTTGGTACCGGAGATCAAACTCGGGACCTTCCATTTGTGTGCCAGGCGCCAGAACCACTGAACTAAATCCCCACCCAGCCCAAGAACAGCAGTTTTAACAGAGGGAGACTGAAGACAAAAGAGAATCATAGTATGGATGAATGTCTGCTGGCAGTAAACTCAGACAAGTAATAGAGTGGAACCCAGAGGTCTTCAACAAAGTGGAATCTCTCCAGTCTCGCTGCCTCCATCATCTTTGAACTTTACAAATTAGGTCTAAGACATTAGGAACTTTAATGTCCATAGTCTTCTCAGTAACTATAAACTGTTCATGAAAATGACTTAGTTGATAATAATGTATATTGTTAAGTTCTGTGTTTAATTATACTGGTGTTAGAATCTGAATTGGTAGATTTTTAATATTTTTTATTGACCTTGTCTCTTAATTACCTTAAGCTAATAAAAGTTATAAGGTAATAAGTTTGAAAATACATACTTCAAAGACAGTTTATATATGGAATTTTAAAACATTTGTGATATTTTACTTTTGTAGATGTGTTAAATATTTTTCTAAAGGTGTTCAGAAATTACATATTTAAAAGCTAAGTATTTCAATTGTTTAATCTTTCCTTAGGTTCTAGTGTAATGCCAGCTGCTGGAACGATGTATCTAACCACTTCAACAGGACATCCTTACACTTACCATAACGGCGTGGCTTACTTTCATACTCCAGAGGTAACTTCTGTCCCATCACCTTGGCCTGTAAGTAACTTCATTTTAAGAATTTTCCCCTATTTTCAGGGATTTAGCTCAGTGGTGCCACCGCAGGCCTCAAAAGTGCAAGGTTCCGAGTTTGATCCCCGGTACCAAAAACAAAAAAAAAAGAAAGAAAGAATTTTCACCTATTATCATCAAATATTTTTAAATATTTGTTTTATTTCTGAAGCATTTCAAACACAAATACAAATAACATAATACCTATGTCCCTGTCACCCAAATTTAATAAATGTTAACATTTTACCGTATTTACTTAAGTTATTTTAAAAGGAAGAATAAAATATGGCAAATTCAGGTGAACTTCTCATCTCTATTCTTATCGTCTTTTCCTTCTCAGAATATATTTCCCACCTGTTGTGTATGTTTTTACTGCAAATGTATGTATCCTTAAATATCATATAATATTGGTTTGGATGGTGTGGTGTGTGTGTTTGTGTGTGTGTGTGTTTGTGTTTTGAGACAGGCTCTCACTTTGTAGTTCAGGCTGGCCTTGAACTCACTGTGCAGCTCAGGTTGGCCCCGAGCTCACAGTGATCCTCCTCCCTCATCCTCCCAAGCTGTGGGATTACAGGCGTGCTACGCCCAGCTAGATGGTTTTTATTTTTTATTTATTTATTTTTTCCAGTACCAGGGATTGAACTCAGGACCTTGTGCTTGCCAGGCCTTGCGCATGCCAGGCAGGCGCGCCACTGAGCTACATTCCCAGCCCATTTGTAAACACTATATAAATATGGATTTTTACTCAATACTATGTTTTTGAGATTAAACTATGTTGATCCTTTTTTTAGATTATGCCCTGTTAATCTTTGAGTATCTAGTTCACTTACCTTAATATTTCATATTATTATATGAATGTACTGCAACTTTTTGTATTCCTTTATTCGTGGACATTTTAAATTTTTCTACAGTGAAGGTTATATTGAACATCCACATCTTACATGTATTATGTGAATTTTTTGAGGGCAGTGGTTTTCAAAGGTTTTGTCTATAGGTCCTCTAATTTTTTTGAAAAATTATAAATCTACCCATTTTAAGGTAATATCTGAAACTTGTAAGTTTAAATAGTTTAGACATATGGTATTTTATAGATTTGCTTTAAATAAATTTTTATCAAAACCTTGTACCCATATATTTAGCTTTTTTTATTTTTTGGTACTGGGGATCAAACTCGGGACCTTGTGCTTGCAAGGCAGGTGGCAGAACCACTGAGCTAAATCCCCAGCCCTATTTAGCTTTTTTTTTGTACTGAGGATCGAACTCGGGTCCCTGCACTTGCCGGGCAGGCAGCAGAACCACTGAGCCAAGAATTCCTTTTTTACAAGAATGTAGATAATCTCTTATTTTATTTTTTTAATTCTGTAATGTTAGTGCTTTTCAGAACTAGATCTTAAATCTTTGGAATATATATTAACTAACCTATCCGTTTCCTATTTGAAATGAGTCCTCATTCAAACACCAAGTTGCTCTGTGTGGATCTTTTCTGTTCCAGTGGTGCACTTGCTTACTCTGCCCAGTTTTACTTTCATTATTGTGACCTTACAATGAGTCTGAAGTATGATAGAACAGACTCACTTTATTCTTCAGGAGTCTTTTGTCTGTCATAAGTCTTTGCTTTTATAAGTACAAACTTTATAATTCAACTTGTTTAAATCTGCAAAAAGCCCTTTTGGATTTTTTTTTTTTTTTTTTTTTTTTTTTTGGTACCGGGGATCAAACTTGGGTCCTGGCGCTTGCACAGCAGGTGGCGAAACCACTGAGCTAAATCCCTGGCCTGCCCTTTTGGATTTTTATTCAAATTTTACATTCATTACATAGATTAATTGGAGACATTTAGGTATTTTCGAATATTGAATCTTCCCATCCATAAAAATGATATGTCTCTCTATTTAGGCCTTTTTCATTTTATCATTTTGTCATCCCCCACCCCCCAGCTCCTTGAGTTATTATCCTAGCAGTGTCTCTGATACCGAAATGATATAATAACTTCATAATCTTATTCTTGAAAAATGAACAAGTTTGTTATTGATTCACCATTAAACTTCTGTCTCTCTCTGTCTTTCTGTAGACTTTGGAAGATACTCTTCACCAGAGTCTCACAGCCCTGGCATTATTGCCATTTTGAATGAAATAGTTTCTTTGTTGGGGAGAGCTCTCCTGTGCATTGTAGGATGTTTAGAATTGTCCCCAGCTACTCCACAGTTACGAAAACCAAAGACATTTTCCAGCATTTCCTGATAATCTCTATGAGGCAGAATCACCAATGGTGAAAGCTGTTGCCCTAAAACAATTTAGGAAGTTATTTTCTATTCTGTTTGCTACAAGTTTTTGTTATAAAAAATTAATTTTAAAATTATTTTTCTGTATGTGCTGAGACTATCATTTTTTCTCTTTTAACCTATCAATGTAGTAAATTACATTTTTATTTTCTAATGTTAATCTTATTAGTACAATTTTATTAGCATATTAAAATATTATATTTTACACAACAATATACTTTTCTTCAGTTTGGGGGATGTGAACATTAAAATAAACAATAGTAAGTTAGTTCCTATGTTAGAATCTAAATTTTAATTGCTACAATTAGAGCGATTTTACCTGTCTTAAAATACAATTTGCCTGTTTTAATGATTTAAATCTATTTCAGGGCTTACTCTGCCGTGTTGAATAGTCAAGTATTACTTGTACTTTAGATACAGACATATCACAAGTTTAATGGATGATTAATTTAAATATTACTAAAATAAAAGAATTGACAGACATTTCAATAAATAATGTATTTGCCTTTAAGTAAGTGTATAACAAAGGAATGAATAAGAATGAATGTTAGTTACTTTAAGTAGGGGAAAATCAAATGAGATTATTCATTCAATTTAACTACTGTTGTAAACATTACCTCCTTCTAGTTTCCACAATAAAAATAGGCAGTATACTCCTAAGTTCAAATGCCATTTTTCTCTAAATATTCTCTTTGACCCTATTTTTGGGGGGGGGGGAGTACTGGGGGTCGAACTCGGGTCCTTGTGTTTGTGGGGGCAGGTGGCAGAACCACTGAGCTAAATCCCCAGCCCTCTTTAATCCTATTTTTGATAATCTTTGGAAATGATACATCTCAGACTAAAAGCAAGTTTTCTGATACTGTAGTTGCTTTAGTACAGTATTACTATGGAAATGAAACAAGCAGAAATAGGTACACTCTGATGATTGTTTAAATAGACTTAAGTAGAATTGGTGATAATATCAATAAGTAGAAAAATCATTTTTAATCATTAACAAAAAATTTACTGAGTTTATGCAATAATTTGAGATAAATTTTATGAGCTATTTTAAAGAATTTTGACTAAAACAATTCTATTTTTCCTTGTACAGTCACGTTCCATATCTAGTACTCCTGTGATGGTAGCTCAGCCTGTTTATCAGCAGCCTGCGTATCACTACCAGGTAGACATTAAATCACAATTCAAACCCTGTCTGATACTTTTTTGAGGTAACATTCCTTTCTTTCTCATGCAAATAACCTACTGATCAAAAAGAGATGGTTAAGCCTTGACAGCAGTTTTTTTTTTCTTTTTTTATGAAGGAGTTAAACAGTGTTATATAAGAAGATGGGCTGGGCTTCAGGGTCAGTTTTGTTCCCCTGGCTAAACTTTCAAACACCTTCAGAAATTCCTGAAGTCAGATACAGGTATTGGACCCCAAGCTGATGTTTTATGTTACTGTTAACATTATGTCAATTTCTTGTTATATTGTAACAGCTTGTGGTTTATTACCTATTACATTATGACAACCTCTTTTAGTTAACCAGCGCTCTTCTTTTTATTAACTCTAGTGGGCAATTGGGAGTAAATGAATTATAATGCCAGACCATTTTGGTTTATAGCAGAGTCAAACCATGCTTCTAGACCAGACCAAGCCAACAGCCTGTTTGTGTAGATAAAGCATTATGGAACATAGCCCCATTTTCTTTTGTATTAACTATGGCTGCTTTTGTGCTAGCATGGAAGAACTGAGTAGTTTTAACAGAGATCATATGGCCTGCAAATCTTAAAATACTTAATCTCTAGTTCTTTACACGAAACATTTCTCAACCTCTATTTTATAACATTTGCACATTCTTTCATGCCTCTGGAACAGTGGAAGAACTTTTTATTTCTGTCACTTTTTCAACTTTTTTTTTTTTTCGGTACCGGGGATCGAACTCGGATCCTTCCACTTGCGTGGCAGGTTGATGGAACCACTAAGCTAAATTCCCGGTCCCACTTTTTCAACTTTTAAAATAGACCTATACGAAATGTTAAGTTAACATTATAGGATCAGGCCAGGCTGCGGTAGAAGGATTGCCATGAGTTTGAAGCGAGTCTGGGGTACATAGTGAGACTCTTGTCTCAAAAAAACAAAACAAAAAATTTACGGAATCTTTTTTACTATTAGGGTTTGTTATGGGAAAATCAATTTTTAATTCTATTATTGTGCTAAATATAATACCTCACTTTAAAAGCTAATTTAATGGCTTTTATTTAAAGCATATTATATAGCATGAGTTTTCCTAGACTGTCACAGAATTCCAGCAGAGGCCCCAGAGACAGATGATCAGGTGCCATATCATTTAATGTGATAGGCTGAAAGGCTGCGAATGCAATTTTTGAGACCCTTAGCTCTTTGCCCACCTTGACTCCAGTTGCAAAGGACTCAGTGCAAGGTAGGCTTCTAGAATATATGCTTAAACCTGCAGCCATAGGTTCCCAGCAAGAAGATCACCAATAAGTCCAGAAAGGACCCTAACTAGTTTGGCATATGCCAAACCCCTAAAATTATCTATCCTAGCTTTTATCCAGGGACAAGAAGAGCAATGCAGTACAGTGATTTGAAAGCGTTTTCTGCTTGTGCCTTACTGAGTTCAGCTCCTCCTCTCCTTTGTTAATTGATTATATACAGCTGTAGCTCACTTGACATATCAGATGGATGTACAGTATTCTGGAAAGTTTAATAGAATTAATTTCATATCTGGATTCTGATTTTCTGCTTGACACAAATTATAAGTGTTTTACCTAGATATACTTGGGATTTGGGCTCCATATTTCTCAAAATAAATAATTTCACTTCACAGTTTTCTTTCCAGTTACATATTTGTTATAATTCTGCCCTTAAAATTGCCAGTTTGGTAAGAATCCTATCCCTTCTTACAAATTCTGATTGATAGTTTCATTGGTTTCTGTAGTCAAAGCAAGTAATATGTAGTTTAATCAGTATTTACCTCCTTCACTTTATAGTTATTTTATTTATGTAGCAAACCAGCATATTAATCATTGTATTTCAAATTTTTATTAAAATATTTTCTTAAAAGATTATATTTTATCCAGCATTGGATCCATGGAGTCATCTTTGTGTTTTTTTAGTTTAATCATGAGAAAGAGACTTTATTTAAAATGAATAAAAATAAAATATTCATTAGTAAAAAATAATATATCTTAAGAAATAAAATCTAGCTTTTATATTGTCATTTTATCATAAGAACCTTAAATAAATCCCCCCCCCAATCCTATGGTGGTGATTGAACCTAGGGCCGCACATGTGCTAGGCTGCCACTAAGATATAGCCCCAGTGCTTTTTAAATTTCATTTTGACACAGTCTTCCTAAGATGCCCAGGCTAGCCTTGAACTCATGCTTTACCTGCCTCAGCCTCTAGAGTACCTGGAATTACAGATTTGTGCCACTGTTCCTAGCCCAAGCTCTTTTTTATTAACAGATTTATTTAGATATAATTCACATACTGTACAATTCACCTAACAAAAGAACAGTTGAATGGTTTTTAGTAAATTCATTGTTACTGTGAAACTACACCAAAGTCAGCTTTAGAATTTTGTTTTTGTTGTTGTTGTTTTGGGTACCAGGGATCAAACTCGGGTCCTTGTCCTTGCAAGGCAAGTGGCAGAACCACTGAGCTAAATCCCCAGCCCCCAGCTTTAGAATATTTTAATCACCTCCCGGAGGAAAAAAAGTCTTACCCATTAGCGGTCGCTCCTGTTTCCGCCCCCATCCCCAGCCCTAGGTTGCCAGTAATCTCTGTCTTCATAGATTTATCTGTTCTGGACGTTTTACATAAAAAGAGTCATATACTATATGGTATTTCATGACTGACTTTGTCCATTCAGCACAAAGATTAACAGTACTCACATGGTTGCAGGCATCAGTACCTCATCCCACAGTAAAATCCCTTGGTGTGGGTCCATTGAAATTTTGTTCATACGTCAGATGATAGGCATTTGGATGTCTCTGCTTGTTGAATGTTATAAATAACATTGTGATGAACGGTATTATTGATGAACATGTTTTTGTGGGACACACATTTGCATTTTTCTTAGGTCTTACACCTAGAGTGGAATTTATGTACTTAACTTTTTAAAGTGTCACCCTGCTCTGCAAAAAGGCTGTACCATTTTATAGTCCCACCAGCAGATTACGACAGTCTAGTTTGCTCCACATCCTCACCAACACTTGTTCTCAGGTACACTTTTGATTATAGCTATCCTAGTGGGTATAAACTCTTATTACATCATGGCTTTTATTTGTATTTCCACACAGGCTGATGATGTTAACCACCTTCTTTTATGTGCTTATTGGCTGTGTATATACATAAAATCTCATGCATAGTGGTGTCTCGGTTTGCAAACTCAGTTATCTCCATGATTCTGGTCCCAAACCAAACTAAAGGAGAACTAAATCAAATTTTCCCATAAGGTCAACATTGAACCTAACCATTGAACCTAATCATTGAATTTGATTCAGTTCTTGTCCAACTTGGTTTGAGACCAGAACCGTGGAAAGAATCAAGTTTGTGAATTGAGGTACCACTGTATGCGCGCGCGCGCGCGTGTATCTTATTGCCATATATATCAGTTTTATATATCTTTTTTCAGTGAAAAGTCTATTCATATCATTCACTCATTTTCAGATTGGGTTGTTTTTATTTTTGGGTTTTTAGAGTTCTTTATATATTGATATAATTTCCTTATCAGATATATGATTTATAAATACTTGTCCTGTATCACGTGTTGTATTTTCACTTCTTGTTGGTGTCTTTTGCAGTGTTTAAGTTTTTATGTTTGTGTTTGTTTTTTTCTCCTGTTGCTTTGGTTATTGTTAATGTGTGTTTTTGGTGTCATAATTTTATTTTTTAATATATATATAAAATTTTATTTTTAATGTACACATTTATAAAATCATAATGTTAAATACATTATTAAAAGTGCTTGAGAGTGGTATTTCCCATTGTTTCAATTTCAGGACAAAATTCTTTGATAAAATCCAGTATTCATTTGTATCAGTGTACACCTTTGTGTAGATTTTTTCAAGTTTTTATCATCATTTTTAAAACATTGCCTAATTCAATATCACAAAGGTTTATGCATGTATTTTTCTAAGAGTTTCATCATTTTAACTTTTACATTTTGGTCTCTGGTCCATTTTAAGTTAATTTTTATATATGGCATAAGGGACCAACTTCACTGTTTTGGATGGTGCTATTCAATGTTTATAACATGGGTGGTTTTTTGTTTGTTGTTTCTCATTTTAGGCCCCAGCACAGTGTCTACAAGGACAATGGCAGTGGGGTGTTCCTCAGGTAAATATTAACAATCAGTACCTAATTTAAATGTATAAAATTTGTATCCTTATGAAAACTGTATAGACACTAAAGTCAGGAAAACTACCTTTCAGACCTCTCTCTTCTATTTATTAACTGTGATTCCTTTAACAGTTTGTTTGATCACTTTATTCTCATTTCCTCATAATGATACTACACCCTTGTTAAGTTTCCTTACATGATATTTGTGAAGATAAATGAGATATGTAAATGAAAGCATTTTATAAGTAAGTCAATGCTATAAAACGTAAATTATTTCTTTTTACAATTAGTATTATTGGAAATTTTAGCGTTTCTCTAGTTTCACTTCCAATTTTGTTTCAGTTTGACTTACCCTCCTAAATAAGTACAGGTTTGATATCCTTATCCTGAATTCTTCAGAGCAGAACTGTTACATATTTTTGAGTTTTTTTAGACTTTGGAATATTTATGAAGGCATTACTAGTTGAACATCCCTAATCTCAAATCCAGAATGCCCTAAATTCTGAAACTTCAGAGATGTTCAAACTGTATTATTTTTCAATTTATAGAAAATGTGGTATACCATCAAAAATATTGTTTAATGACATTTTCCCACTTCTATGGGAAGTCACAAAGCTAAGTAGACATGCCAATTTATATATCATAGATTATAGTAGTATAGCTTTTACATTTGATCTTAGCCAAAAGACCGAGAAGCAATTAGTAGTATAGCTTTTAATGGTGATATTACTGTAACCACAATTATAATCTGAATTGACATGTAAGATTCTGAGGCCCTAATAACTTCTGGCATTTACAGTGATTGTTCTTTAATGATGTCTGTGCAACTGGAATTTATAAAGACCTAGAGTTCCTGGTGTATTGCTAAGATAATGCTGTGCTATCTCTTAAAAAGTGGCTTAGGAAAATATGAAACACGTGTATCTCTCATCTTTTGGGTAAGTCATTTGTCTAACACAGTGGTGGCAAACCTATGACACAAGTGTCACGGCCAGCTGTATGTTATCATTGAAAGCTCTTAAAGATTCATCAACACTGGTCTAACTGAAATAATTAATCATATTTGAATTTGAAATATGGTTTTATGTTTTAGTCTCCTGCCTCTTCTACTCCATTCTTGTACCTACAACCTTCTGAGGTAATTTATCAGTCCATAGAGATTGCACATGATGGTGGATGTGTTTCTCCTCTACTATCTCTGATGGAAGCTCCTGTTCCAGAGGTATCTGTGGCTTTTTTTATTTATTTGGTTTTTAATTTTGGGCAGTGCTGGGGATGGAGCAGGGTCTTACACATGCTAGGCAAGCACTCTACAACTGAGCTATATCCCCAGCACTATACCCTTATATTAATATTAAAGTGATCTTTAGCTACTTCATCTTTTTCTCTTTTTAATTTGTAAATATCATCTTCAGTGTCTTTAAATTGTATCTTTGAGCCATTATTAATAGCCTTGCCATCTGTTTGCCAGGAATTTTACATGATATATATATGGAGGGGTGGTAATCGAACTCAGGACCTTGTGCTTGCCAGGTAGGCGCAGTGCCACTGAGCTAAATCCCCAGCCTGCATGATATATTTTAAATCAGTGTTATAAAAGATTAGAAATGAGTACCCATCTCAGTTTGAGTGCATTGGTTTTTTAAATAGATTTTAAAGGGGTTTTTTTATAGGTTTATAACTATAATTTTTGTTCTGGAAGAATAATTTCAACAGTTGTATCTTCATATTTACTATCAACACTTTTATTAGAATATTCTATTTTTTATCTCACTCATTTTTTGTGGCTGCTTTTTTATCCAGTTTTGCTGAGGTATAATTGTTGAATAAAAATTGTGCTGTAGATTTTTGATGTGTGGGCCAGGGATTTAGCTCAGTGGTTCTACTCCCTGCCTTGCAAGCCCAAGGACCCGAGTTCGATCCCTGGTACAAAAACAACAACAACAAAAAATAGTGTATCTGGGATATTTTGATGTGTGTATACATTTTGAAATGGTTACTATAGTCAAAGCTAATCCACCACCCTACCTAGTTACTCTTGTTTGCTTGTAGTGAGAACAGTTTAAGATCTATTCTCAACAACTTTCAAGTAAATAGCACATAATTACTAACTGTAGTTACCATGCTGTACAGTAGATACTCAAAACATATTCATGCTAACAAACTCTGTCCCTTTTGACCAACATGTCTACATCCTTCTACCCAATCCCTGGCAATCAGCCACCATCTTACTCTGTGCTTTGGTGAGCTTGATCTTTTCAGAATCCACATATGAGTGACATCATGCAGGATTTATCTATCTGTGCCAGGCTTACTTCATAGCAGTTTCCTCTGGTTTCATGTATGATTTCACAGATGACAAGGTTTCTTCTTTTTTAGGCTGAATAGTATTCCATTTTATATATAATATGTTTCTTTAGATACTTATCAGGTTATATTTACTGGAATCGAGTAAGATTTTTCTGAATATATAGCTAATTATTATCTTATAACTTGTACTTTGTATGGTATTTCCATACAGGATGATATTTGTATGCTTGTATTTTAATATTATTTCTGGTAGAAGATATAGTATGACTGCTATATAATGAACAGTTTTAAGTGAGATTTCCCTAAAATTAAAAACTACAAGGCTTTTATGGTGTTATATAGTCAAGTTTCCTAAAAAAGAAGAAAAATTAATACTTTTATTCATTTAAGGATTATTTTAAACCCTTGCCAAGTCTTCAGTACTACCAGTCCCTCTCTTTCACTCTTAGAGGCTAGCTTTACTTTCTCTTTTACAGAGTAGAAACCAATTTGTGCAAAATAACTCAGCCTGCGTTCCCAACATACAGACTTAAATCCCAACTCTTCCTTAGCTTCTGATATCTAGTGACATTAAGTCTTGTCCAAGGTTATTGCTGACTCGTGCTCTGGATATTTGCAGTTCCCTTCCATTCCATCTATTACCCTTTTATCTTCTTGCATTTTAAGTCTTTTTTTTCCTCCATTGGTTCACAGATTCACCATTTACTGTGTTACTCAGGGGAACTACTTAATCTTCACAGTCTTGCTTTCATAATTTCCTTATTTGTAAAATGAGGAAAACCTGTTTTGGGGGATTAGTGTAAAGATTAAGGATATTGATAAAAAGTTCTTTTTTTAAGACCTGGCACCTTGTGAGGGGCAGTTATTGTCCTGTCACAAAATGCCCCCAGGTCCTAATTCTCTTCTAGCTGTCAAAGCAAAGATTCTTGAATGAGTTCTCTTATGTTCAGTATTCCTACTGCTTTACTATCCACAGCTACTGAGTCTGCTTCATTACCTTCTACTGAAGCTACCTTTGAAAAACCTTTGAAAAAGGTCCTCCGTGACTTTCTGTTGTCAAGTCATTCTTCCTCCTTAATCTTACTTGCACTCTCAAAGACACTGTACATATTCCTTGAGGTGCCTCTCCCATGAGTCCCATGATACTGTTCCTTTCTGGAATTCCTTTTTCTCCTTTTAGTTTCCCCTTGTAAAGTAATCCTTTGCTCCTCATGATTTCATGTTTGGCTCTTCACTCTTTCACCCTCTATATTCACTCCTATGGTGTCATCCGTACCTGTGACAGGTCTCTGACCAGCCTCCCTCTTGAGTTTCAGACTGCTTATCCAGTACCATAGCCACTTGCCACATGTGGCCATAAGCACTTGATTGTATCAGTATCCAATTGAGATGTTGTTTACATGTGAAATACACACCAGGTTTTGATGACATGGTATGCCCCCCCAAAAAAGTTAAAAGCTCAATAATTTAATATTGGATATACTTTGATATGATAATAGTTTGAATCTGTTGGTTTAAATAAAATATATTATTAAAAAGTAATTTCACCTGTTATTCTTTTCTAACATTACTCCTGGAAAATTCCAAGTTACATATGTAGTTCACATTACATTTCTATTGAACCAGTACACCTCTACTAGAATTCCTACAAATACCTTCGATTGTACATGCCACAAACCTAACTCCTCTCCAGCTCCTTCACATATGATTGCATAGACATTAGACTTCCCTCTGTTCCATGGATGGTGCCTCATCTTAGACAAGCCATACACCTGCTTTACATGTTCTGTTCCCTGGCTGTTGTTCCACTTCTCTTCTTCCAGCTGTCCTCCAGTGTGTGACCTTTCTTCCAGCATGCTGAACTACCTGGTCAGATCTCCCAGATAAGGTGTGTGCTTACTTCCTTCTGTGTCTTTGATGGTACTACTCCTTCATTCTTTGCCTAATTCTTCAAAGTCAGACATCAGCCCCACAAGGAAACTGTCCTTGACCACCCTAACCCAACTTCCTTAAGGAACACCAAGTACTCCTTTTCTTTTCTCCCATCCATCATATACATGTCTCATAGGGCATATCATAATTTGACTACTGTGTGTTTCCTGATCAGACAGTAAGTTAAACAGAGATAATGTATTTTTGTTTCTCTTCATTGTTTAGCAGAATGCTTAGCACACTGTAACACTAAATAACTATTTTTAATTAATAAATGAAAGTAATCTCTCCCCCCAACTCCCTTCTTCCCCACACCCACTTTCCTTTTATAATAGCCTTATTCTGATCATGGAGTTCAAGCAACATACCACCAGGTTTATGCTCCAAGTGCCATTGCTATGCCTGCGCCTGTGATGCAGACTGAAGCAATTAAAGTAAGAAGTTCATGTTGATTCTTTTTGTTTTTCTTCAGTTATATGTCAAGTTTTCCAGATTTCTTTTCTGGAAAGAGAAATGGTATTCTTATCACATTTGTGATCAGAAGTACAGAATTCATTCATGTTGTAGAAATACAGTTCAAAATTAATTATAGTGCCTATTAATTACTTTTAAAACATGTTATTAATCATACATGGCCCCAATTTTTTGCTTATTGTGGTAAAATATATATAAATTTAAGGTTTACCATTTTAACCATTTTGAGTATACAGTTTAGTGGCATTAATAACATCCACAGTCATGTACAAATAATCACCATTTCCAAACATTTCCATTGCCCAAATAGAAACTGTTTTCATTAAGCTGTAAAATCATCTTTCTCTTTTTGCCAACCCCACAGTCCTTTTTAACCTTTAGCCTACTTTCTGAGTTTTCCTATTCTCTATGTATATTTCATATACTCAGATTCTGATTATCTATGTTGACATCACATAACATTTAAGGGGAGATGAAAAAAATTAATGAGGTGCTCTTTCTGCTTACGAATGTGTCCGTGCTCCCTAAATCAGATTCAGGCCAAAGAATGATGAACTACTATAGTTAGATCTGTGTGTATATGTTTTTTGGCTGTCTACAGTATAACAAGGATACCTCCTATTCCTTTATGAAGCAAGTTCCTTAATGAAATCTTTGTATCATGACTTTAGGGAAATGGATTTTATCTCCAGTAAAGAACTGCATATTGATTAACTATTGAAATTGCAATATAAAAAAAAAAGAAATGGCAACATAAATTTTGTGTGCATAGTGTTTGACAAGGAAAGAAGGCATAGTCTTTCCAATAAAATGACAGGGATTAGCTGTTTCACACTGATATTCATATTTCTGACTCATCATATGTGTTAAACTCAGTATCAAGACAGTCTATACGCACAGGCCTCTCCTCACCTAATCCACTGTCACTGTTGTGACTGCTCTGAATCTCTTTGCTCTCCTAACACTGCAGTGTAAACAAAACTACAATTTTGGTCTCATGTTAGTCCTGATCTTTAGTAAACGTTATTTACAGAGACATCACTTTTTAGCACTGTTAGAAAATCTTTTAAACAGTCTTCTGATGTTAACATTTTCTCCAAATATGCATCTCTAGAAATAGCTGATATTGCTATAAAATGTTGGATAGCTACTGAGAAAATCACAAATACTGGAAAGTATACTGATTGAATATAGATCAATAGAGAATGCAGTGGTGGGTAGTATAGGTTAAAGGAATGTTAAGCATTCTTAATTTAAAATTTAATTCTTCTAGTTTAAGAATATAGGAAAGAGGTTGCTTTTCTTTGGGTAACAGTGGTATATTATTGGTCCTTAGGGTTTGTCAATACTCAGTTTGTATTTAATGCTATAATCGATGCTGATTTTATTACTGTAGCCAAGATGACAAAACTGTTGCTATTAATTGGTTTTCTTGGGATACCAATACATGCTTCGCCTTGGGGTCATTAACGGTAGTAGTACTGTAGCCCATTCATAGAGAACTGAGTACTAGGCCAAATATGTTGCAACCTCCCATCCCAAGTAAATATAGATGGCTTGATCCTGGGATAGAGGCAAAGGCCAATAGCCACAACCAGAGGACACCACTGAAAAGTATACATTAACTAAAGAGGTTTCCATACTAGAAACAAAGCTTTCTACTATAGTCAGGCTGCAGCCCTCAACACAAAAACAAACAAACAAACAAAAAATAGAAGCATGAGAAGATAAGGGAACAGAATGCTTCCAAAAACTCCCAGTTCCCCCGTAGCTGATCCAGGGACATCAAAGTGTAGGAAACCAAAATCCATATACCCAAATTATTTGAAATGATATCAAGAGAGATAACAAAACAAGGCATTTGGCAAGCTCACAGAAGATATAAGTAATAATATATTGGGCCAAATAAAACAATCAGCAAGTTTTCAGAAGACACTAATAAAAAGTTAGCAGAGCTAAAACAATGCAAAACATGAATGACCAACGTAGACAAGAATCAGGAGTCCATAAAAAGTCTCCGAATAGAAATCCAGGAGATTAAAACTTCTGTCAAAAGTATGGGTAGCAGAAGTGACCAATGTGAGGACAATGTGTCAGAACTAGAAGACACAGCTGTTGTCCATGATCAATTAATGAGAGGAAACTTGAGAACAAGAAAATGAATCCAATAGCCCCTAGCTGATGCAAAGAAGACTAATCTAAGATTAATTGGAATTGGTGAAAAATCAGAAGATGGCACAAATAGAATAGAAATCTGTTGACTGAAATAATAGCAAAAACTTTCCAAATAAGGAAAAAGAATTTAATATACAGATAAATAAGGCATATAGAACCCCAAAGGACCAGGATCAGAAAAGAACTTCTCCACATCACACCATAGTCAAAATTCCAAAAGTCCAATACAAGAACAGAATCTTAAAAGTGATTAAAGGGGGGGTGGGCGCTGGGCGCTGAGTCCGGCTGGGGTGGACAAGCGAGCGTCGGGCCGCGTGAGCAGGCCCGATGAGGAGGACGTGAAGGGGAAAATGCAGGAGTTTCTCCGGTATCGGTATCGGCGGGACTTGGGGCGGTTTTCGAGCCGACTCTGAGTCGGTGAGAGCCGGAGGCTGAGGCGGCAGAGAGAACTTGCCCGGCCGGGGTTCGCCTGCGGTGCAGACTGTGGCCGGCACAGAGGAGCGACCAGCTGTCCGCCGTTTCCTTGGTGCTGCCTTGGTGGGCTCCTTTGCCGACAGAAACTGGAAGCCAGGCGTCGAGGGTCGGCCCGGGAGCTCCGAGCGGGAAATAGCTGGTTTATTTTCGCTTCTCAGAATACCAGTGGACTCAAGTACGAAATGATCGGATAATGCAAAGTTGAGCACACGTGGTACAAGTAACTTCAAATGTTTTATTATTTACCAGAAAGTTTATAAAAGCTTTGATTGAGGATGTCCTCCTTGTTCACTGAAGAAATTTGCCTTTCTAAAAGACATGAAGAAATAGTATCACAAAGATTAATGTTACTTCAACAAATGGAGAATAAATTTGGAGATCAAAACACAGAAAAGGTATCTCAGCTGCAAGCAGCTGAGACTGCTTTCCAAAGGAATCTTAGCCTCTTAAAGGACATAGAAGCAGCTGAAAAGTCTCTACAGAGCAAGATTCGCCCACATCCACCGCCTGAGGTGGTTTCTCTTGAGACTCATTACTGGGCATCAGTAGAAAAGTATATTCCCAAATGGGAACCATTTCTCTTATGACAAGCACCATATCCTGTTGGTGTTGAACATCAAAATGAAGCAGAAAACACCGTTCTAAATGAGGCATAATAATAACTTCTTCATATGCTATTTTAAAAACCTCCTTAATGAAGCTGAATATTAAAGAACTTGTGGGTAATTGCAGGAACTTTAGGAATTGAATATGTTGATATTGTTTCATTATCTCTAAATGACAATGAAGATATGAGAATCTATTGAGAAGTTTGTGATCATCTCTACCATTCAGGGTCATGCATCTGCTTTCTACCATACCCATGGGAACTGTTAAAAATTAATATTAAAGTATTATTAAATACATTATTAAATCAAAAAAGTGATTAAACAGCTGGGTGTGGTGGCACACGCCTGTAATCCTACCACTTGGGAGGCTGAGGCAGGAGGATCTCCAGGAGTTCAAGGCCAGCCTGAACTACAAAGGGAGACCTTGCCTCAAAACACCCAGACAAAAAGTGGTTAAAGAAAAGCAGTGAATTACTTATAAAGGTAAACCTATTAAAATTATAAGATACTTCTTGTGCTCGCTTCAGCAGTACATATACTAAAATTATAAGACACTTCTCAACACAAATGTTAAAGGCCAGGCGAGCTTGGAGTGAAGTGTTTCAATCCCAAAAAGAAAACAATTTTCAACCCAAGCTGATGTAGCGCACAAAACTATCTTTCAGAATTGATGGAGAAATAAGATACTTGCATTATAAAAAGCACCTAAAGAAATTTGTGAGCACTATATCACTCCAAAAAATTCTGAAGGTTATCCTAGAAAGAGACAATGAAGCTAACAAGGACAAAAGGTCTGCTAGAATAAATATGCCAGGAAGGGTGAGCAGTGAAGTAGAAGGGAGCAATAAGGAATCAGCAAAAGGAAAATAAGACGAGAGGAATAAGTCACTATTGATAGTAAGTAATAACTCTCAATGTGAATGGTCTCAGTTCCTCAATCAAAAGACACAAACTGGCAGAATGGAAAGGAAACAAAATCCAGTAGTATGCTGTATACAAGAAACACACTTCAACCCAAAAGAAACTCATAGACTAAAATCAAAGGACAGAAAACAGTATTCCATTCAATGGGAACCTGTATAAAACCAGGTGTAGCTTATCCTATATTCAGACAATGTGGACTTCAAGCCAAAACTGATCATAAGAGGCAAAGAAAGTCATTACATATCAGTTAAGGGGACAATCCAACAGGAAGAGATGACAATTATTAACATATACCCAAACAGTAGTGCACCCAACTCCATAAATGAAGTAGTACTTCATGTAAAGGAGCAGATAAACACAATTATAGTGGAAAGACCACAGTAACCCACTATCACAAATAGTTCAACTGGACAAAAACTTTGGAGTTGAATAAAACCTTCAAGCAAATGAACTTAATAGATATCTACAGAGCATTCCAACCAACAGAGTACTCATTCTTCTCAGCAACACAAGGAACTTTCTCCAAAATAGATCACATACTAGCCAAGAAAGAAAGTTTAAGTAAATGTGAAAGAACTGAAATAGTACCATGCATATTAGAATTCAATGACAAAAGAAAACACCGCAATTATGCAAACACATGGAAAGAATATATTCTTAAATAAACAATGGGTTACAGAAGAAAACAGTCTCTAAAACTAAATGATAATGCCAGTAGAAGACACCGATGAAAAGCAGTTCTTTCTTACAACACAATGAAGGCAGTTCTAAAAGGGAAGTTTAGAGTCTGTCTTTTTTTTGGGGGGGGGGGTACCAGGGCTCGAACTCGGGACCTTGTGCTTTTGAGGCAGGCGCCAGAAGCACTGAGTGAAATCCCCGCCCAAGGGAAGTTTATAGCTGTGAATGCCCACATCACAAAAACAGAGCAAGTCTGAATAAACTAATAGTGTATCTCAAGGTCCTAGAAAAACAAGAACAATCCAAACCTAAAACTAGTAAAAGAAGGAAATTATAATACTCAGAGCAGAAATCAATGAAATTGAGACCAAAACATAATACAGAGGCAATGAATCAAAGAGTTGGTTCTTTGAAAGAATAAGCAAAATAGACAAACCCTTAGCTGATCTAATCAAAAAAAGAGAAAAGTCAAATTTATGTAATTAAAAGTGAAAAAGGTGAAATCACAATGGACACTGCCAAAGTCAAACATTATTAGCAACTACACAAATCTGTGCCCCAGAATATAGAAGAAATAGATTCCTAGATACATATGAATTACCAAGAAGATTTTAAAACCTTGAATAATACAATAACAGACAATGAAACTGAGGTAGTAATAGAAAACCTACCAACTAAGAAAAGACCAAGTTTGGATGTATTCACTGTTAAAATCTATGAAAACATCAGGGAAGATCTAACACCAATACACCTCAAGCCCTCTTAAAAAAATTGAAAAGGAAGGAATACTCCCAATGTTGGTCCTGGAAGCTAGCATTACTCTGATTTCAAAACCAAACGGGACCAGGGATGTAGCTCAACAGCACACCGCTTGGCTGGCAAGGCCAAGGTCCCTGAGTTCAGTCTCCAATTCAAAAAAAACAAGCAAACAAGACTAGACAAAGATCCAATCAAACAAGTGAACTATAGGGGTGAGGATTTAGCTCAGTGGCATAGCACCTGCCTGGCAAGCACAAGGTCCTGAGTTTGATCCCTAGTACCAAAAAAAAAAAAAAAATGAACTATAGACCAATTTTGTTAATAAATATAGTTGTGAAAATCCTCAACAAGATTCTGGCAAACAGAATGCAACAAATCATCAAAAACAACATCATGACCAAGTACACTTCATTTCAGGAATGTAAGGATGGTTCAGCACATGCAAATCAGTAAATATATAACATAAACAGAAGCAAGGACAAAAGTCACATCATTTCAATAGATGCAGGAAAAGCCTTTGACAATATCCAACATCCTTTCATGATTAAAAAAAAAATGAAGAAAGTATGTATAGAAGGACCTAACCTCAATCTGCTAAAAGCTATTTATGATAAACCTACTGCTAACATCAAAATGGGGAAAAACTACCAAGAATGATTATGTAAAGGTGCAAATTTCCAATGATGGATGCCATTATATTGTATACCTAAAATGTACCAATAAAATTAATAAAAAATTAAAAAATAAACAAAATGGGGAAAAACGGAAAGCTTTCCTTCTAAAATCAGGAACCAAGATAAAGATATCCACTGTCACCACTCCTGTTCAACATAGTACTCAAATATTAGCAAGAGCAATTAGGCAAGAAAAAAATGAAAGATGTATAGGAAAGGAAGAAGTCAAATTATCATTTGCAGATGGCCTGATTCTCTACAAAGAAGGCCCCCCAAAAAATCTACCCAAAGACTCTTAGAATTAATGACAAATTTTAGTAATGTAGCATGATACAAAGCACCCAAAAATCAATAGCACTCCTTTATACTAATAATGAAAACACTGAGAAAGAAATTAGGAAAAAATACCATTCACAATAGCACCAAGAAAAATTGAAATACTTAGGAAGTGAAAGGCCTCTGCAGTGGAAAGTACAGTACCTTGAAAAGAAGATCAAAGAGGATGTCAAAAAATCTATTCTTGGATAGGCAGAGCGAGTATAGTCCAAATGGCCATGCTTGCAAAATTGATTCAATCCCAATCAGAATACCAGTAGTATTCTTTCAGAACTGAAGAAGACAATCCCAAAATTCATATGGAATCAGAAGAGACTCAGGATAGCAAAAGCAACCCTGGTTAACAGCACAGCAGGAGGCATCACAATCCTGAATTTGAAGTTATATTACAAAGCTGCAGTGATAATGACAGCATGGTACTGACACAAAAACAGATTATGAGGATCAGTGGAACAACACAGAAGATTCTGAAACAATCACACGTACATTAAACTATTTGATCTTTGACAAAGGGGCCAAAAAACATACACTGGAGGAAAGATAACTTTTTTTTTTTTTGGTACCAGGGATCGAACTCTGGACCTTGCGTTTGCGCAGCAGGCAGCAAAACCACTGAGCTAAATCCCCGCCCCAAGATAGCCTCTTAATAAATGGTGTTGGAAAAACTGGCTACCCACATGCAGAAGATTGAACCTAGACCCATGTCTCAGACTCAATGAGAGCAAGCAGTAGGATTTTGTATTCCACATTCCATTAATATTTTAACTTGACCTGTTTTGGAACTACATGGGAATAGAGTATGGGCTGTACCTTTTTTATTCCACATGAATTATTCTTCTATAATTGCAGTCTTTTCAAAAGGCAGTAGTCCCCTCCCTCTTATCCATGGAGAATACATTCCAACACCCCCAGAACATGGCCTGAGACCTCCAGTAGTTCCAGACTCTACATGTGTACAAGCACTTTGATTGTCATTCCGATAACCAGCATAGCTACTAATGGGCAGATAGTATATACAGCATGGATGTGTTGAGCAAAGAAAGGCAGGATTCACCACCAGGGCACAATGGAGGAAGACACTGCATGATTTCATCCCACTACTCAGAACAGCAAGTAACCTAAATCATGCTTGTTAAATTATACGTATGAATTATTTATTTCCCATTTAACCATGTGTAATTGAAAGTACCAACCATAAAACTGCAGATAAGGTAGGACAACTGTACCCACCAAAAATACTGTCAGGATCTAAAACTTCTTATCCAAGAGTCCTTCAAGTCCCACGGGTCTTGTGCTCTTGTGCTAAGAGGCCACTGGGCCTCTTAGATTCTCTTTACTCAATTCTGTCAGCTAGCTTGTCCTCCAGTTTCATTAATCCTAGAATGTGGCTCCTTTCCTTGCATTCAGTTTGAACTTTCAGCATTACTTTCAGAAATGTATTTCTTCCTCTTTAACAACTACTAATAAACAGTTCTTTTCGCCCACTAACCTATGTACCTAAGGGAGTTTTCCAGTTTTCATTTTATATTTTTTTAGTGTTTGAATTTGATGTCAGTGCTTTAATTTGCTTCCTAACTTAATCCTAAAACATTACCCCCTGAGTGATGGTTACAACCTCCTCAAACAGAAAATCATGTATACACAATTTCTTACACTTTCTTTTCAGAATCTTTACCACTTATTCTCCCCATTTAACTCTTAAAATCAAAACAATAGCAGTGCTGTTTCAGACCTCTCAATGCCATGTGGTCTCTTCTATACTTAATTGTCTGTGAAAAACACAATTTATTATTGTCTTTTAATGATTCTGTTGGGTGCATCTTATGTGGGGTCTTGGCTGAGCTAGATGTCCAGGTCAGCACCCAACTAGGCTTAAGAACTACCAAACAGTCCCAGGGTGACATAGGTGTATGGGATCCTTCTAGGAGTATACAGCATAAGTACCTATGCCTCTCCTAAGGCCAACTGGAAGAGTACTTTTGGGGTTTTAGACAACTTTCTAGATAGTCTTCTACCAAACACTATTCCCCTTTTAAAAACAAGTTTTTTAAACCCACCTAGTAGAAGAAAATGTTATGACTTATTTGTAATTCATGATGACATATTCCTCCTTTTATATATGAAACACTTACACTGGGACATTAGACTAGAGATTATCTAATACAGATTTTAAGCTCTCAGAAATCAGAGAGCAAGCCTTTCTGCATTCTGGACCCCTCCTAATGTCTAGCGTCCCACTTCATAGCACTAATTAGTACCACATGTACTAACATTTTGTAAATGTTGACTGATGTTGTGTTCTACTCTTATTCCTCTTTTTTTCCGTTCTCTTTCTGATCTGCATGTTTTCTTTCCTTAACAGACAGTGTGGAGCACTCATTATTAAGACAACTGGGTGGCTCTAGTCCATCCTGACTGATTTCTTGTCCAGTGATCCTTGAGCGATCAAGATCCTGCTCCAAGGCACCGGCTAGAAGCTCCCCATTGTGAAATTTAGGATTAGTCAGTGTCTCAACATACTTATTTATTCCACTGTAAGCTATCTAAATTTTATGAAATTTGGTATTTCAACTGTTTTACAAAAATTATTTAGGTATATGTTGTATGTTGGTTTTTTATGTGTTAATCTAACAGTAGTGACATTTTTTACAACTTGTTTTATCCATTCCTAAATAACAACCACATTGGGAATAGTGAGATATCTTTAATTTTTTCTGCTTTGTATTCTTTTCAGGCTTTTAGATACTATGTTTCACATTCTTCTTTGTTTTAATATTTAGGATAAGAATCACTTCTCATTCCAATAGAATTTTTAATACTTCTATACCTTTTAGAGCATAGTATGTTATTTAGCCGTAATGATTTACTGTTACTGCTTTGTTACTTTGTCATTTAATATGCTTTTAATATTTTATTTATGTTACTGTTACTCCTTATTTAATTTTTTTTCTGCCATGGTTATTATAATTTAAATAGTATTTACACTTATTTTATTATAATATCTCCCAAATATTAAAAATACCACACACATGATCAACATATTTGCTTTTTCATGTGATTAATTTGACTATATTAAATTTTTCTCTAATGCTAGCGATAATACTGTAACCTACAACATACATTTGGTAACAATTTTATATAATATAGAGCTACCTCATGGAATTTTGGTAAAAGAAGGGCTCCCCTCTGACAGGCTCCCATAACACTGACCGACATTCCACTGGATTAGGGTGCCTAGAATGCTTTCATCTTACAACCTTTTCTTATTTTTTACCAGTATACTCAATTATATATGTGACATTGTTAAAAGTACAATTGTTTTTATAAAATGCAAAATTATTTCTTAAACCAAAGGAAATGTTAGATTCTGATTCTAAAGCCAATTCACATTATAAAATTGGGAAATGGCAGGGGAACTATTGTTCAAAAGATACAAAACAAACCAGAAGAGGTTTTAATCACTAAAATGTCTGTAGCGGTATAAGAAATATCCCTTTTATATTCATTTGCAGTTCTTCCACTAACTTTCTAATTTTAGAAGAGAGGGGAAGCTCATAACTGGCATTACTTTAATAAATCTCTGTCTTCCCTCTCCTGTTCCAGCTGCAAATGTATTCTCTACTCAGCAGCAGCAGAAACAGGATATAGACCCCAGAGTTTTTCCAAGTGTATCAAATAGGGTGTTTTCCTTTGAAACCATGAGTGCATCTGCCAGTCAGATGGTAGGAACCTGTGGATGAATACTAGCGTACAAGGACCTCATGTGCATTAATTATTCTCATTTATAGAAATATAAATAGACTAAGTTCCACAATGAAATTTCAAAAGTTTTTGTTCTGTAAGTACAAACATTATTAACCACTGATGTTAGAGATCATCTTTTAATAGCATTATCCTTGAGAATAAAAAAGTTGATTGTTTTGATATTCAGATATTCAACATGATACTAAACAAATGCTGGACTGTTAATAAAAGTGATATATTATTGGGCAAGAAATTTTGATAATAATTGATACCCAAGTGTGTTTCTTCCACTGAGTTATATAGATTATATGCGTTCACACCACTTATATTATGTATATGTACACCTACATAGATTATGTGTGCTCTGTATACACATTATATATACACATATACATATAATTCATACATGTACTTTCTTAGAATTTAGCTTTATTTTGAGATGCTGATAAAACTAAAGAATTTATTGACAATCTGAATATATGGGTGATATCTTTCTTAATGACCTAGTTTGATAGTGAAAACATACTTCTAAAAACAGATTGAGAAGACAAAACCTTTCTTTATATCTAAGAAGTGTAGCCCATTTTCTTTTTTCTATTTTGTAGTATATCTTCAATCAATAATTTTGAAAAGCTTTTACTTAGTACACAAAAATTTCAAACTGGTAAACTAATAAATTATGGATTTCCAATTTTATCATTCTTTGTAAGGATTCTGCTTAAAATAGCATCAATTAATGTAATGCCAAGACTGATTATAACTAAATAAAAGTACATAGTAACAGACTGAATAGATAAGATATTTAAGGTATCACTGGTGAACGACACCATATTTACATCTTTTTAAAAAACATCTAATTTATGAATTTTCCATCTGTTGATTTGTCTGTTTTCCTCATTGATAATGTATTTCTTAGTTAACAGAACCCAAAACTTGATGATTTAATGTTTCATTGATAATTTTCTGAGTGAAGCTAGTATGTCAACCCCAGGTTTACATTTCTATCAAGGTGTGTACCTATAGAGTAACTGTCATTTAGTATTTCTATAAAGGTGCTGTCGGTCATAAATATCTCTTTGGTGTGCTTCTTGTCTTTGGAGAGCAAGAGAAAGTGACCTCTCTATACTTAGAGACTAAAGCCCTCCATCCCTCCTCTGCTAGTCTTCTCACATCAGCTCTTTTTCTTATTGATGGTTGCTCATCGGAGAAAATGTGGGGGACTTTAGATTCTTCTCCATTTCTTTCTTCGTGGAATAGTGGCAATAAAACATATCTCTAATGGAGGGAAATTTTAGGAGATGCTAGTTTTGTATTATTTTGTTGTATAAAAAGAGGTTTTCCTGAAGCTTTCAGGGTTCAAAGTGTTCCAAATTTCTTAGCATGTATTTTCTCCCGTGACTTACACTGACAAGTTTCGTGGCATTCCCTTAGAGTCTTGTCATTCGTAGGTTTTGGTGCTTTGAAAAGCATTTTCCCATTGGAAATTTCAGGATAGAAATGAAATTATACACCTCCTCTTCTGTGAGTCCCTAAGCCTACTAGTTGGCTCTTTCAGTCTGAGGACAACACCTGTCTACCTACCTATCTCCTTTCCAGCTTGTTCTCCAAGTACCTCACCCTTGTTTTGGATCAACTGGAAAAAAAAAAATGTGCTGACATTTAGAAAGGCCTCCCTTCGCTCTGGCTTTCCCCTTTTCTGGCTACTCGCATTCTCAGGGATCTCTATTTTCAGCTTCTATAGGATTCTTCCAAATTTTTTGAGAAAACAACTTTTTGGCACATTTTTTATTAGTGAATATTGGTTATACAGATTGAGTTTCATTTTCTCAGATTCATACATGCACAAAACAAACTTTGATCACCTCTGCATCGCCCTAGACTCTTCTCATCCACCTAATTCAGTTAACCTTCTTGGCTGAAAATGATAGGACTTAGGATATTTATTATGTACCCATTTCTGCTTTCATTTTCAAATAAAGTATTAAGCTAAAAAATCCAATTAGGAATACTTACTTTTGTAAGAGCATTACCAAATTCCAACTATATTATAAATGATGTTTAAGTTCACAAGTTCTCTCTATAAAAAAAAAACACACTGATATTGAGCTATATAAATAGAGTTCTAGATTTGGGAAGTTTCTCAAAAGCAGGAGAGAAAAAATATCTTCCCCTGTCCGACTTCCCTAAAATGTGATTAGAAACCATGTCCATTAACCCAAAAGATTTAATCCCATTTGATAGAATTTTTCATAGTATAATGTAACATGATAAACTTCAGGCAGTATGAGGAAAGATATTTTGGCTTAATTAATCCAGCTTAAATGCATCTAATTCATACTTTAGAATTCCACTCTTGGTTTTCACACCTTCTTCCTTCTTCCATTTCCAAACCCATTGATAGTCTTCAATCTCCAAGTTTTTCCACAATGGTTTCTAATAAAAGCACGAGCATTTTGGAAGTACAAGCATGAAAGAGACCCAAGCCACTTTTGCTTGAACTTTAATCCTCAATTAATTTTGTTTTATATATTATATATATTTTGAGATAAATTTGAAAGGTGACAGGCAGAGTTACTTTTTGTGATTAAATCCTAAAGATCAGTGGAATTAGGAAGGGTATGTTAACACAAAATTTTTTGTATATTTTAAAAGAGCCTTGTTTCCTCAAAGGATGTCATAGCCACAACCCTAGGTAATAATGATATGCAGACATTTTGTGCTGCTCTTTAGCAGACTTGTATTTGGGAGGACTGGTTCTGTCATAGCTGTGAGTTAGTTCGTAAAGTATATTCTCTGGCAGGTGGGGCCTGCGGTGTTTACAGTAATAAACTTTCACTCATAAAACATTTTAGATAAAAATATTTCTAAGTTCATCCTTAAATATCTCATACTATTTGTCAGTCCATTGTATCATCATTCTGTTTTGTCATATCTGTTTGAATATAATCTGGATCATCTGACACTTAAGGCTTTGTGATTATCTAAAGTCCATTTATAGAAATGCCTGGCTGATTAGAGCTTGCTTGTATCATACACGTGCACATGCATGCATACCAGAACAGCAAGGGAATGTGAGTCAGAACAGCCAGTATCATTGTAACATTCCTCATTAACAAGCAGTGTGGCACCCATTCTAGGCTGGGAACCTAAGGCTAGGGACATGTTCTCATTTTTTTTAACAAATGGCTCTTTGCAGCTTTAACAGATATTGTTCTATTTCTTTGTAAACGGTATCAAGTAACAACTGATAAATCCCCACGTGTAATTAACAGATCAAGCCTCTAGTGACAAATGATATCTGTAAAGAGGCTAATGCTCTCTGGAAGTGGGGTTGCGGGGAGGGATGAGAAACAAGAGCCTTTAAAAACACAGTACTTTTTAGATATAATTTTTGTTCTGTCCAATAAATGTGGACCATTTTTGTTTAGTCACTAAAATGTCAATTCTAATCTCTTAAATAGTAGAAGTCTGAATCAGAAAATATTTCAATTCTAAAATAAGGAAATAAATTATAATAAACATGAAAGTGTTTACTTACATTTTTATCAGTAACCTAAGAATAAACCAGTTCCCTAATCAAATAGTGGAAATAGTTACTCCAGAATTTTAACTTTTTAGGTTGTCATGGAAATTTTTCTTTAAAAGCACTGTGCAAGTCAGCATTCTTAGAAATGTAAGGAACATAAGGTGAGAAAAAAGAGCTTCTAAGTATCGCAGAAAGACTTTAATTCCTCTGAGAGCAAAAGGTATCTATACCCCGTGCCATTTAACCTTGGGAACAGGGCATATTTCCACGTTTTCAAAATCATAAAGTCTAACAGAAACATGTCTTTTGTTGTTGTTTTCCATTCCTGCTTAATAGCTACAATGTAAGCATTTATCCATCTTTGTATAGAATCTATGTAATATTTGCTACTTTTGGAAAGGATTATTCAAGATACATATACATATCCATGTCACTTTTATTTTGTATAATTTGATGCAATTCTAAAATACAGTGGTCAAAATAATTGTCTACTTAAGTCTTAGCGCAAAAATTGTAAAAGTGCCTAAGGCTAAATATAGCCTAATGTCACAATTGTCTCACAACACTGATTTCAATAAACTGTCTTTAATGATTACAGTACTTCATAGTGTTTTTCCTTTTGAGGTAGAAGACTATTTTGTAACTTCACAAAGTATCTTAAAAGTGATATTAACACTGTCTGGTTCACTGCACAATTTGAAACATGGTTAACTCTAGAAGCATGTAGATCAGATATGGCATTTAAAAATTACCCATTGCTTTTATTGGTTACTCTTGACACCTGTTTTAGCACTGCCTATTGGTCTATGTGTGTAGTCTTGGTGGTCAGTAGAGTGGCATATGTACCCTTATGGAAACTGTAAGTATATATAGCCAAGCATGCATCTCTAGAGAAGGTTTGCTTTTTAATCTTAGAAACTTTAGCTAGTTTTTCTTAACTACAAGCTGTTAAGTGTTTAGAGAACTACCAAAACATCTATATCCAATTTTTGTTGTCAGATACAGGCTGGGCTGGCTAGGAGGTGGTACTAGAAAAATTTTATTCAGCTTTAGGACACAGCTCTGCCTTGATGCAGTGGACCCTTGACTTAAAAACTCAGTTCATTCCCGAGGGCTGGTTGTAACTCAAGTTGGTCAAGTGAAGTCTCGGGCTCCTCTACACAGCCTTCAAAGAAAGTCTCTCTCCTGTACACAAGCAGATCTCAGTGTCCTTAGAGAGACACTAGCCCAGGATTTCTCAGCCCCACACAGAAAAGGATGTTGTAATGTTCCTTCCAGAACTTTTTTTTTTTTTGCGGGGGGCCTGGGGGTAACGGGATCGAACTCAGGACCTTGAACTTGTGAGGCAGGCGAGGTGCCACTGAGCTAAATCCCCAGCTTCTTCCAGAACTCTTTATAAGAGTTAAATCTGTATCTGAGACCATTTGGAAGCACAAGTGGCCAGCATTTGGGTCATAACTCAAAACTTTGTTAGTAAGTTAAAACTAAAATTCTGGTCTAAGTTGTTCAAATGTCAGGCCAGTTGTAACTCAAGGGTCCACTGTACTTGCATTCTTCTTGAATCACAATATTCACTCAAATCATTTAAAACAAGCAGAACAAGTGATGAGACTTCCAGGCAAAAAGCTTTGGCTGCACCTTGATGGTGTGACATCGGCACTGAGTCAGTATAGATTGCTTAGCTGAAGTTTCCTATCCTGTGTCTTGAACAAGGCAGCATCTCCAGCAATCCTTCTGTTCAGCAGTGGGTCAAATAAAAATCACTTGCTGGAATAGTCTATTCATTGGATGTTTTACCTAACAGTAGGATAAAATATGACTCTTAATAATACCCTGATTTTGTCTGGATAGTTGCTTTCTTTTTTTTTTTTTTTTTTCTTTTGGTACCAGGGATCAAACTCTGGACCCTTGCGCTTTTGAGGCAGGCGCTGGAACCACTGAGCTAAATCCCCAGCCCTGGATAGTTGCTTTCTTACCAATAGGATTTGATGCTGATTTTACATATCATACTACACAGTTCTGTTGTAACAAGTCTTTACCAAAGTTTAGGGAAGACACGAAGTAAAGTTGGTAAATTAGAAATATCATTGAATATGCCTCTTATCAGCCCCTCATAATGGGTCTCTTTTTATAGACCTAGGATGCCTCTCTGTCCACCAGGAGGTTACAAAGTAACCCAATCTTTACAGTGATTATTTCCTAACACAACTTGTCTCCTTTGAATCTAGGCCCAGTTAATCTTATTTTTAAAATCTCCCTTAAGTAATTATAAAATTAGAGCCATTTAAAATCCATTAAAACCCTAATTTTCTTTAATAAAGAAAATATCTTAATAGGAGTCCATGTTACATTCTGTGAGAAGCATTTCACAGCCTTCCAACTATAGGTTTGAAACCTTAGTATTCTCAAAGTGCACACTCTGAACCTAGAAAAGATTTCAGAGGAGAGGATTCAGTATTTATTCCACCTTCCTCTAATGATTCTGTTAAGTAGAATCTTGGATGTTTTATCCAGCAATTGAAAATAATTGGCCCCATATATAATCTGGTAACATAAGGATTTGGAATGTGCTTTAAAGTTACATGTTTTTGCTTTTTTAAAGGGAATTAAATCTTGACCAGAACACTGTAAGTACTGGATTAAAAGATTTCTTTTATTAATTTGTATACTTAGGTAATGTAGATTTATAAACTGTAACAAAGAGAACAAAACTACATCAAGACAAATACCTTGATAAAGTTTGAAAAATCTATGCTGATTATGGTGGCACACACCTGTAATCCCAGCACTTAGGAGCTGAGGCAGGAGGATAGCAGAAGTTTAAGGCCAGCCTGGGCTACATAGTGAGACCCTGCCTCAAAAAACAACAACCAAAGAAAAATGTGGGGCTGGGGATTTAGCTGGGCGGAGGACTGAGCTGGGCGGAGGACTGAGCTCAGTGGTTTCATTGCCTGCTGCGCAAGCGCAAGGACCTGAGTTCAATCCCTGGTACCAAAAACAAAAAAAAACAAACGAAAAATGTGGAGATTCTCTGACTTACAAACATGATAATCTCACATAAAACCACCTAAAAACATCTTTTTGGTGTTTGGAATTTTCATTTTTCTCTTATATTTGTAGACACAGTCATGGCATATACAGCAATTGTGTAGCCACAGACCATTTGGTGTATTATGGTATCTTAAAGAAGCACTGTCTGGTTAAGCTAATATGTGTAAAGAGATTCTAGCTTCCATGTTATTTTGGTTTCACTGTATATTTTGCCTATATTAAATGGTTTTGATAAAATACTCCAAACTGTAGTTTTATATTAGAAATTTTGATACTTAACACATAAAATAACCTGCATGTTATAAAATATATCCAAAAATCTACCATTTATTTTATACCACTGCTATAGTCAAAGTTGCCACTATTCTTAAAATTACTATCTCCCTATTTCTGGCCCTCTTCTGTCATTTATACATGAAGTATAAGGGCTCTTTCAGCATCTTAGTATGTATAAGCATTGAGTATATCATGTCAGATTGGATATGTATTTATTCCTTCAAGAGAGGACATTGTCAATGTGCCTTTTTATCTTTTAGTTCCTCTTTTGTGAGGTTTTTAGGCTTTCAAAAAATATTAACCTTAATACAGTTTAATCATAACATATTTCACTTTTTACAAAGAAATTATGATTACCTATCATTACAAAATAAGCCTTTTTTAAAAGTTAAAAAATGCCATACTTAATAGAACTTTCCTTTTTTTTTTTTTCGGTACTGGGGATTGAACTCGGAACCTTGCGCTTATGAGGCAGGCAGTGGTGCCACTGAGCTAAATCTCTGGCCCCTAAATCCCCAGCCCTATTTTTTAATTTCAAAAAGTTCTATTAAGTCCCAATCCCCAGTACCAAAAAAAAAAAAATTTTTCTCCTAAAATTAAAAAATAGCTACACTAACTTTTCTATAAATGCTTTGTTTACTATATATTCCAACCTTCTGTAAAACATTTCTTTATGGATTATTAACAAGTTATATAAACAATTATTGACTACATAGAAATTTATTCTATAGTTTAATGACATTTGATTGCAGAATATTAGGATTTCACAGTTTTAATTTCATGTCTACCCCAGAACTAATGCTACATTGCACTTCTTTTGGGTAAGAATTATATATACAAAACAACCTTATATGAGGAAAATTATAACCCAAAATAACCTGAAGTAATTTATCCTGTCTCATAAAGGATAATGAACTATCCATGGATTGATGGATTTCGGAGTATATCATTCTAATGGTTCTGGGCTACAATGCTTAGTTCAAGGAATTAAATACAGTAGCACAGTTGTAATAAAGACTATTTCAGCATAGCCTAATAACACTACTGAAGAATATTTTATTTTGCTATAGTTACTTTGAAAGTGACATGCTGTATGTTGAGGGCCCAGCACTATTACTATGGCCCCAGTCAAAATATGAAAAATAAGCTGCTATCAGCTTGCCTGATGTTCATAGCATTTCAATCCTGTCTTTATTATTTAGGCTTATTTAGTATACACTGAGGCATTTTTGTTCTAAAACTTCTGTATATTTCAGGAGTCTGAGACTAACTGTATTTTGCTTCCAGAAAGATTTTCAAGGAAGTGATTGTTAGCTAATTTAGACAACTATGCTCTTTACCAAAATGTACTTCCACATTGCTTTTATTTCTATAAATATTATATATCCAGTTCTATAAATATTATACATCACTTTATTTCTCTTTCCAGGCTATGAAATACAGAACTGAGGTGCTATGAAAATATATTAATATAACCCCAAAAAAGCTATTCTGCTTAAATTGTGACACTTTACTCTTATACTCTTATTTCACAAATAACCCTAACATATCCAAACTAAGAAAAGCTACTGCTTTATAAGAGATCAGTGTTTTGGCTTTCAATTAGCAAGGTCCTTTTTATAAGGCAGAATACAAAAGTGAACAAAGATACAGAGACTAAAACCTCATCCTTGGCCTCAGACAGATCTGCAATAACCAGTGACATTGTGTGAAGTTTAATATAAAAAGTACTGCCTAAAGTCTATTGTCCTTTGGTGTTTTAGAAAAAAATCTAAACACAGTATTCATGAACAATTTGAGATGATTTAATACTCCCAAGGTGTCGCTTGCTAATCACATCAGGATCTTTGTTTCCAACATGGTCTAACTTTGGTACCACAGCAGAGAAAGTTACACAGGATTCACTTATATTTTTTAGCAATATTTGAGGAATATCCTAAAATCCTTAATACCTGACCTAAAACATTTTTAAAATACTAATACATGTAAATGTATAAGGATTCAGTAATGTTCAATAAAGTCAGAGGATTTAAATTGTCAGTAAATAGATGTCTTACTAAAAGTTCATTTTGTATGAAAACTGTATATATGAAAGTTTCAGTATTTGTAGTCTCCCATAAATTTCTCTGCAATTGTTAAATAGTTCAAATAAACTTGAAGTTATGTTTTCATGTTCATAAATAAATGTGTTTAAAGTACTAATTAGTATAATGTCATTTCAAAATACATAGATTCATGACTTAGGGCAACATACTTTCACTTACAACTACTGGATTCTAGAGTTTAGAGCAAGGACAAACTTAAGAGAAAAGAAAAACTAGAAAGTCCATAGAGTTACTAAAATGTTTAACAATGTGGATCAGCACACATAAGCAGGCTTAGGATGTAAGAAGCAACTGAAAGCCAAAGTGAAATATACCACACTTCATGAAAAAGGTATGTTCTTTTTTAAGTTTCTTTTTTGGTACTTTGTTTCATACTGTCAACAAGTTAATTCCTGATGTATTTCAGTTAAAAGTTCTTTCACAGACATTTCACCCTCAGGTCTGTGGGTCGGGTTATACTACAGTACTTCTCTTCCTCCCAGCCCTTCACAGACTGCCTTGGTCCATGTGCTGGATAACGGACTGTGGAGTTGGTGGTAATGCTGATGTGGAGGCTCTGGAATAGACAGGTTTGAGTCTGGGCTCTCCTGGTTTACAAACTGTATAATCCTAGCCAAGTTAATCTGTCTGTGCCTCAGTTTCTCATAAGTTTCATTTAAAATAATACCTCACAGAGTCCACAGAAGTAAATGAAGGAAACAACATAATAAGGAATGACTATGGGTTCTGTCCTTTTGTGTTCTCGTTACTAAACTCACAATTAGGAAGCATGGCAAAATTATGGCTATGGAATTGTTTCCTTTTCATAGTCTACTGAGGACTTACTGAACAGGTATATATTGCTGGCACTTCAAGTTTCTATTTTCACAGAGGCCTGTTAGAAAAAAACAAAATTTTAGAGTCTCAAAATTTTGCCTGCTATCAATGTCTTTTCCTCTGCTTAGCAGTGATACACTTGGTAGTAAATTATGCCCACTACACTAGATTAGTTCAAAGGATGCTAGATTATTGAAACTGTTTTATTTAATGTGTTCCAAAGAAGTTACTACCCTTTTAAAAATACTTAGGAAAAAATGTAGAATTGATCATATTTTTATTAAATATACTGAATTACAAGAATAGCAATGATAGGAAAAAAAAAAAAGAACAGCAATGATGGGCTGAGGTTTTAGCTCAGTGGTTCCGCCACCTGCGTTGGCAAGTGTGAGGTCCCGAGTTTGATCCCTGGTACCAAAACAAAACAAAACAAGAATAGCAATGATTCTAATCTATAGCAGTCAATCATAGTCTATTTTTTGAAGTTTTTTCTTTATGTCAAATCCCATAAACCAGCAATTCTCAACTATGGAGGGTAGAGGAGAAAAGTAATTGCCTTACGAGGCTGATGTCACACTGCCCGTACCTGCCACACACTACGAAAGGTGGCACCCTGTTTGCACAGTGAATCCCAGTGCATCAGTGGGCACTCTGCAGTCTTCACCACAAATCCTTACCGCCCCAGGGCAGGTCTCCTCTCTCCTTGGAGCTTCATTTCTCCTTGCAGATGGCACACTCGTTCTCCTAAAACATCCTGCCATTCCACACCATCCTGTTCTTAAGGGAGGAGCTGTGACTCTTAAATCCATGGAGAATAACTGTGCTACCAACAATTCATTCATGGCCAAGGATAAGATTTCTGCACTGTCGCCTTACCTACTGATGTCAGTCCAGTCATGGTTGAACCTTGGTAGTTACTGATAATACTGTAAGGCACTGCGTACTGGGCTTCAGTCCTCCTTCTCCAGAAATAAGACGTGCTTCACAGACGGTTAAAATCCCCACTAATTTACCTTCATTCATTTATTACTCTTCTGGGCTTCTAGTAAAATTAACCAAATTGATGTGTTCCTCTTGTCAAGAGTCAACCAATCCTAGGTTGGGGATTTAGCTCAGTGGTGCTGCGCCTGCCTCGCAAATGCAAGGTCCCAAGTTTGATCCCTGGTACCAAAAAATAGTCAACCAGTCCTCACCAAACTCCTACAGCAGGAAGGGCACAGCCAGTTGTGCCATGCTGAAATGGCTATTTCATAGTCTTAGTTTTACAAGAGATTCAAAGACTTTCTTCTATTATCTGTTCTTGGTTAGCCCCATCTGTGCCCTAGCTCCCCCAAACTCTCTGAACTAGTAAACTTGTGCTGCAAAAAACAAAATAATGGCAGTCCATCGGCCCATACTTTCTAGGTCCACTAATGCTCACTGTGTTGTGGAAGACAAGGTGAGGACCTACCAAGATTTACAGCACCCCAGAGCTCACTACAAGCTTTTTGACAACTGGCAGAATTATAGGTCATGGGAATTACATTATCAGACAGCAGCTTTATAGACCAAGTCTTAGCCTGGCATTACACAAGTGCAGGCCAACACTGCCACCACACACTTGGTAGAAAGGGAGCAGTCAGACCCATGAACTCACCCCTAACATAACATCCAAGCGGAATCTGGGTACGGCCACCTGCTGCTGCAGGAGTGAGCCACCATTCATTGTTAGAGGCCTACACTCGGTTCAGAACTTCTCAAATCAAGGGCAACATCCCAATCACAGTACAGCTTTGGAAAAACAACTGTCCAAGGGTCTGTCTTCTGGCCTATGCCTTTCTCAAGTACTATGGCATCAATTTCATATGTAATTTATTAGGCTCCTCACAGCCCCTAGAGTCCACTGGTTAAGAAAATGAGGTGGCCTCCTAGAATACCTGAGGTTTCAGTGAAATCAGGAGATTGCTGCACTTACAGTCACAGATTTCTAACTCCTACAGCGCCTAATCTGTGAGTCAGCTTGTGCACAGGCCCAATATTAAGGAAAACATGGCTTGTGGACAGGACAGCAGCTACTGCGCGGATGTCTTCCAACTCCCTACCGTGACAACCCACGAATGCCTGACCTCATCTCCTGCAACACCCTTTCCTGATTATTGAGAACCACCAGAGTAGTGTTTGGAAGAAAATTTCCTTATGGTAAAGAGATCTACAAGATGCAGAATAAAGCACTGACAGCTTTGGAATATGGGGAGCTCTCCAAGTTTTATCGCCTATCCATTGTAGTGGTTAGGACACCACCTTTTCCAAGGACATGCCCTCCAGTTTTAAATGCCACCTCTCCTCCACTCACCATGCTGAAGCTGCTGGCTCAAGCTCAGCATTGAGTACCCAAAGGACATCTGATTAGCCAGGCAAGCAGAACAGCACCATCATCTTCCTCTTCCCTGACACTTCCCTTGGGAACCTTGAGGCCCTACATCAAGACTAAGCCTCATAGAGCCAGAAGCCTTAAAAAATACAAGGTGCCACCCAGCAGCTACATTACCACCTAGTGTCATGCCAAGGAGAAAATGCCCAACAGAGCTAAAGATGGCTCACTGCAAATACAGTGCTTGTCATGCAGCTCTAGTCAAAAGGCTAAGGAACAGGAGGCTGCTGACAGAACTGCCATAGATGACGAGCCAGTTAATCTCCAGTTTATTTCTCCAAGTTTGGAACCAAGTGAAAAGCTTCCTAATGCTGCCGATCAGATTCCTAACCCTGATGTCTGGAATGTAGACAACATGCATCACTCTTCTTCATTCATTCTTAAGACTATTACTCCAAAAGTGCTGGCTTGTGAAAGTGACCTAAAAACGTAGGGTATGGCCAATAACCATCCTCACAACTCAGTCCTGGAAAAAAGGTCAGAAAACATGATGGAGAAGTGTAGATTAATGACCCAGGAGGCCCAAGATGTTTTTCAGTTTCTTAACTAGGGAAATCTTAACTGCTGGGGTGGGGCTGTAGCTCAGAGGCAGAGTGCATGACAGGTTCCTGGGTTCCATCCCCAACACAGGAGAAAACTCTTAACTGACAAGTTTTAATAACAACTCTTGCATTGGCATCTTAGCATTTTTTAACAAATCTTTTTTTAAAAAGATACTCCCTTTATGCACTATGTAAGGCACTACAGAGAATCTGCTTCACTTTTCATATCACTACCGAAGTCAGGTCCAACGTATCTGGCTGATCCAACAGCTGCGGTGTTCACAACTAACTGATCACAACCAGATCCGACTTACCAACTCCTCTACTCATAATATCCCATCTTCTATAATCATTATGCTCTCCGTTCTAGCTGTTTTCGTGTATCTTAGCCACAGATGTGCTAGAGGCTGGTTAAGTCCTGCACAAGTGACAGCTACACAGAATGAACTCCATTAATACCAGCAAGCTGAGCTCCAGTGTACTGACCAGCACCGGGCCACAAGACCATTCAAGGGAAAGATTCTGTATCTCCGGCCTGGCAGGACTGTCATGCAGCTCTAAGGCCACAGAAGTGATCATCTCACTACTTTTCCAAATGTTTTCCTTCCTTCATGTAAATACACACCATCTTTCACCAGTCTCTGCTCCTTCCAGCCCTGGGAGATACTTCCTGCTATGCCTAGAAGTCTGTCCTTGTAATACCCATACATCACACAAAAAGCTGAGAAGGACTGGAGCTCAGCACTTGAGGAAATGGTCCTTCCACCTATAGAATGTCTTCAAACATTATTTTCCAAGCAACTAGGAGTCCCTTACCTTGCTGATTAATAAAGAGAAACTGGAGCTGAATAGTGGCAGCTAGAATAGATCCAAGGGAACTGCTACACAATTTTTGCTTGCTACCAAGCCTAGATTTTCCAAGGGAAGTTTTCCCTTCTGATTCCTCATAGCTGTCCAGTCACCTATGTCCACTCGTTTACTATGTTGTAGTCCCTGTATAAACTGGTACCTTAAAATCTCCTCTACTATTCTCTTAGAGAGCTATGAGTGATCCCTAAGTCCACTCAGAAATTCCTGCAGCACTGATTTCTTCCCTCCACCCTCACCTTCAACAAATCTTCTAGAATAGATCTGAAAAAGGTACTTGAAAACTTTTAAACTTCAATAAGTTAAAAGAGCAAAACACATAATCAGCAAAAAATACTTGAAACTCAAGTATTAATACGGTCAGCAACTATTACACAATTTCTACTTTGTACTACAGATCTCAACTGGCCAAAAGAAATCCTGTGGTCAGTTATGTATGTGGATAACAAAATGAAGACTGTAAGAACAAAGAGAATATTGCCCTTTTAAAACCTGTATGGATTAGTCATACCTGTTATTGAAGTTGGAGATTTTTAACATACCAAGTGCCTTGAGAGTTTTACAGTTCATCATATAAACAATGTGAAACACTTACTAGCATATTAGTAAATGTCATTTTTCAGTAGTCTTTAAGAAACAGAATTCTATTTTATTGCTTTCTGTTAAAACAGTGGTTACTGTTATTCCTTAAAAAGTGAAAGATCTGAGAGATCAGAAAGCAGAAAACTAAGTTATTTTAAATATTCTGAAACCTCAATCTTAATTCAATGTGTGAGACCACAGCCACCTATGTTAAGAAACATGACTGCTGGACTACATTAACATACAAGATAGGGAGTCCTCGTTGTAGGAATTTAAATAGGGATGAATATGAGCAAAACTCATCTCATTTAGGACATTAGTTTTTAAAGTTTAAATAAAAATCTCTTTTCAACAGGAGACCCAGTATGTTTAACAAAGTAGGGTTAACCTGTAAAACCGAAGGTTGGGGGCCTCCAAGCCCTACCATAAGAGGTAGATTGCACAAATAACAGGCTGGAGAGGGGCGACTATGACAGGAACAGTATCGGCACCTGTCTCCTACCATCTTTCCTGGAGACATGTTAGACATAACAGTGGACAGAAGACTGGTTACTGGGCAAAGAGAAGGGGTAGGCACCTGAAGGCCTTGTCACAAGGAAACACACAGCTTGTGTGTTCATCTGATGCAACACTTTAAAAAACACTAGTATAACTCCTGAAAAGATAAAACACATTTGCAGTTTTACCACAAACCAGTAAGAAACTCAGTCTCTAGGTCCCATGAGCTTTCACCATCCGAGCCCTAGACTGATCCAGTCTTGGAAACAAAAGGCCAGTATCGGGACCCAGCCTTCTCCCTTCAAAAGGGCACTGGTGTCCACAGAATCGAGGCAAGAAATGGAGTTCTCCAAGGCCCCTCTCTGCAGCAGAAATGCCCAGCCTGGATAACAGCTTATCTGCTAGGTTTGGGGTAACTGGCTGAAGCAAAGTGCCAAAGACTCGCAAACATTCCAGGGCCACATGAAGCACAGTTCCCAGCCAGGGAGCATCCACCGGGCTCTCCCAACTCAACTTCCATGGTGCGTGCCGTTGGACAAAGCCGTTAGTCTGCCGGACGCAGCTGGACACCGCCTCCAAGGCCTTGTAGATTTGAAAGTTATCATAGTTCTCGGCCACCTGCTTGGGCAAGGCAGCCACTGCGCTCACAAGAGCATAGTCCTCTGCCTGGGCGCGAACTGATGGCCCCTGCAACCCCGGCTCACTGGGGAAGCAGGCAGTGCAGAAGGCTGGGTAGGTCCCAGAGGGATTGATCCGGCTGGCAGTGCATCTGTTCAAAAGGCCTCCAAGGGCATCCGCCAGCTCAGAGTCCAGCAGCTTAACCACCTTCTCATCATAGTAGTCACAGTCCCAGTTGGGAACGCCCTGCCGAAGGAGAAAGTAGCGGAAGCCATCCACAGTGTAGCGATCCAGACAAGCCGTGGGGTCCACCACGTTGCCCAAGCTCTTGGACATCTTCTGGCCACACACCGTCCAGTGGGAGTGGACGTAGATGCGATGTGGAGGGCTCAGTCCGGCCCCGAGAAGAAGGGCGGGCCAATAGATGGCGTGGAATTTGAGGATGTCCTTACCTATGATGTGGGATGCCGCCGGCCACCAAGATCTGAACTCAGCCTTCGGGTAGCCAATGACGGTGAGGTAGTTGACCAGCGCATCCACCCACACGTAGATGGTCTGCGAATCGTCCCCGGGGACGGGAATGCCCCAGTGCAAGTGGCTGCTCCTGCGAGAGACTGAGAGGTCAGGCAGCTCCTCCTCCAGCCACTGAAGGACTGCGTGATGGAAGGGCTCGGGGACGATGGCGCGCGGGCTGCTTCGCAGCCACCGCCGGAGCGGCTCCCGGAACTGCGACAGCCTGAAAATGTAGTTTTCCTCCTTAGTCCAGGAGACGGGGTGCCCGCTCTCGAGGGACACAGGGCACAACTCCCCCGCCGGGCCGGGCTGTCGGGTGACCTTGGCGTCTGGCAGGAAGCACTCGTCGGAGGCGCAGTACCAGCCTTCGTAGAGGCCCTTGTAGAGCAGACCCCGGGCCGCCAGGACGCCCCAGAAGTGCTGCACGGCAGCCCGGTGCCGCTCTTCGGTGGTGCGGACGAAGTCTGTGGCGGCGACGCCCGCGTCCTGGAACAGCCGGCGGAACTGCGCGGAGACGCGGTCGCAGAGCGCGTGCGGGGCCAGGCCCGCGGCGGCCGCCGCCTGCTGAATCTTCAGGCCGTGCTCGTCCGTGCCGGTGGAGAGGCGCGGGGCACCGGCGCCAGGAGCCCGCAGGCCGCGGAAGCGGCACAGGGCGTCGGCCAGCAGCGCCGAGTACAGGTGCCCGATGTGCGGCGCCGCGTTCACGTAGAAGATGGGCGTGGTGAAGTAAGCGCGCGCGTGGGCCGCATCCTCGCAGACACTCGGCGCACCCGAGACAAAGCAGCGCGCGCCGCGGCCCCCCAAGAGAGGAAGCCTAGGGGACCCCTGGCGCCCCAGCGCCCGAAGGACCGAGGTTTGCAGCATCGCCGCCAGCCGCAGTGGGGAACACGGCCCGGAAGCACGTGGGAGCGGCGCCTGCGCCAGCAGCACGCGCAGCTTCCGGCAGGGCAGCCAGTGGAATCCGGCCGGCGTCGGCTTCCGATGCGTTCCTTCGCCGCTTCCAGCAGGCAGCGCGCGGGCTGCTGGCGGAAGTCCCAGGGGCCACGCTAGGGGAAGCTGAAGAAGAGCTGGCAGGATGAGCTTCCGCCCTGGAGTTGGGACTGCGCTTGCGGGTATTTTCCCTTCTGTGCTGAGTTGCTTGTGGGTGCGAGTGTGATAATCAGGTCTCAGAATTCCGTTGGTGCAGGGCACACTGCACGACGTAGAGTGTGTCCTCTACATAGGTCTTCTGCACGTTACCTCAGGTAGGTCAGGCGGGAGGAAAAAAGATCATAACCTAGAACGCTTAAGGGAAGGCTGAGAATGGAAAAAGGAGGAGGAATCTTTTCTCTGAACACAAGTTGTGCCGAATCCACCAGAGGTAGATTTGTGATATGGCCAGTCCTTGCCAAGGTTATTGAGGTTCAAGGAAGTAAAATGCAATGCATTGTTGCTGCGCACATACGGAGAATTAATTTTAATAGACATTTCTCAAAAGCAGTTGTTAAACCAGGAGTACTAGCACACACGAGTAATTCTAGCACTCTGCAGGGATGAGGCGGGAGGATCACAAGTTCAGCCTTGCCTGGGCAACTTAGCGAATTAGCATACCTCAGAATAAAAAACTGTGTAAAAGGCATAGCTTAGTGTAGGGGCCCTGGGTTGTTGGATCCTCAATACCACTACCACCACCACCCCCGAAAAAGCCATATATATAATGTTTGGTTTTTTAAAATCAGGATCTCAGTCACTAAATCGCTCAGGCTGGGTTGTAACTTGTGATCCCTCGGCATTAGCCTCCCATAATGCTGGGATCACAGGCGTGCACCACAACATCCTGCAATCATGTTCTTTTTCTTCTTTTTAATGGTTTTGGAATTCTTGTAGAACTGTGCTTTTCAAGTTTGCTTTTAGTAATGGAACCCTGACGTCTGAGTGAAGAGAACTCAGGGGAACAGAATTGGATTGCTGTTAATCCCTGATTCATACCACACTCTCATCTTTGGTCTACAATTGGCCTCCCCGCCAAAAAAAATAAAATCAAAGTAGATAGTAGTGTGTGTGTTTAATAATGAAATGGGATGGAGCCCTTGTGAACCTACAACCCAGCCTTCATATGAGTAGAGGTTCTCAAAGTCTGGTGCCCAGAACACACAAGCAGCCCCCAGAGCTGAGAGAGTACGCATTCTTAGATCCCGTGTGCCACCTACTGAAGCAGACCCTGAGGTTGGCCCTAAAATCTAGGGTAGGCAGCTCTCCAGGTGATTCTGATGCACGCTGAAGTTCAAGGACCACTAGATTAGCAGTGATTCAGATCTGTGTGCTGGTTTTCTCATCCCATCTTCATTCCAGAGGTGACCACTGACCTGAATTTTATACTTGTACATCCTTGTATCGTGTGTCCTTGTTCCATCCTGATACAGGAAATACTACCAGAGATGAGATAGGAAATATTATATCTCCCAACCTGTTAGCTATCTGATATGCAGAGCTCTTGAACTCTTACGGAAGAATGAGTCCTAGGAACAAGGGAGGTGAAGAGTAGGAGGATATTTATTGATGGGAAAGCTCCTGAGGCACAGGAGGGGTCCCGAGTGGGTAGCTGGGGACCCCACTTTACAGAGGAGTTTTATAGAGTGGAACCCACATGGGTACAACGTGGGCCACAGCCATGAACATCCGATAAAGTCACAAGTATCGTCAGTTAGGTAATACTTGTCCAGTTGGGAAACAAATCACATAACAAGCATGGATGGAAAGAACAAGGATTCTCCTAGGAAGTGGTGGGTCCAGAGGTCTCTGTCCATCTAGACTTCATTAGGCCCAGTGTTTGTTCTTTGAGGAAGCATGCAGGTCTGGTCATCTTGTCTTTATCTGAAGGCCTGGTTTTCAGCCAATGTGTCTCTGGTCTCCACTGTGGTGTATTTCACCTTTGTCCTGACCTTCTGAAAAACCTAGCCCTACCTGACTACCTATAGTATTTCTACCTGACTCAGCTGTCTATAATTATCAGAGTAACATATTGCTTTTGCTTGTATTTTAACATTCTCAAAAAGGGTATAACAGTCTATGTGTTCTCCTTCAATTTAACCTTTTTCATTCAACATTTTGTTACCAAGATTCATCATGTTCTTGTGAGTAACCATGGCTCTCCCATTTTACTGCTGTGTAGAGCATGAATGGAGGCACATGGCAGGCTGGATGTGACTTCTGTGGTGACTTGGAAGATGGACCCGTCAAGCTCTGTACAGGAGGCACAAAGGGAAAACAAATATCCACCGAATGTTTGTTAATGGGCCCTGCTTGATCCAGCAGTTCAAGGAGGGCAGGGAAAGGACAGGTAAGACCTGAAAGTCATACATAATGCACACCGTCCGAACCCGAGCGGACCTCAGGCTCCCAGCAGTCCTCTCTCCCTCCCCCGCCTGCCCTCCGTGTTCCTGTGGGATCAGTGCTTCAATATATACACAGAGTATTTTTCTCCAACCTTAAGAAAGAAAAGTTCGGGGCTGGGGATTTAGCTCAGTGGTTCCAGCACCTGCCTCGAAAGCGCAAGGACCTGAGTTCAATCCCTGGTACCGAGAAAAAAAAAAAAAAAAGAAAGTAAAGTTCTCGACCCCACTCCATTTTCTGTCTTGATAGAACAGAACTCTTTGAAATGGATGGCTCATGTTTTTTGCTCTTAGGAGCAATACTGCTATTAACTTACTTCTCTATGTCCCCTGGTATTTATTTGCTAATTTTTTCTTGGATATATGCCAGAGAATGAAATTGCTGGATATGATGTTTGTATCGGTCAGCTTCCTGTTGCTGGGACACAATGTCTGACATCCACAACTGAAAGGACAGGTTTAACATGGCTCACATTTTCAAAAGTTTAAGTCCATGGTTGGCTGGCTTCAAGCAGAAACCTCATGGCAGAAGGCCGTGGTGAAACATAGCTGCTCAGTTCAGGGTGGCCAGAAGGCAGAGCAAGGGAGCAGTGCCAGAGAGGAAGGGGTGAGGGATCAGGCAGACCCCAAGATCACACAGGAGTGTGCTTTATTAATCCCCTAAGCAGCTCCCAAACCAACCAAGTTGACAATCCACCAAAACTACCACAATGCTCAGTTCCACAGAGGATATCAAATTGTCCTCCAACATGGTTAAATAGATTTACACTCCCATCAGCATCCTTGTCTTGAAGAGATCTCCCCAGTACTTCATCTTGTCTGTCTTCTTCATTTTTACCAGTCAGTTGGATACAAAATGTTGTGTTGCTGGTGTCCACAATAGCCAAAAAGTGGAAGCAACTCAAATGTCCATCATCTGATGAATGGATTGAAAATATAATATAAGGTATGTCCACACAGTGGAATGTTACTCAGCAATAAAAATGAATGGAATGCATCTGCTACCACATGCATACATCTTTAAAAATATGTTAAATAAAAGAAGCCAGGCACAAAAGTTGGAATGGAGGGTGAATGCTTAGTGGATCTGGAGTTTCTTCTTTGGGTAACAAAAAGATTCTGGAGCTAAATAATGGTGATTATTGTACAACCTGGTGAACATACCTAATCTTGCTGAATTGTACACTTTAAAATACCTAAAATGGGTATTTTGCCACAGTTCTTTAGAAATGATATCTCATTGCAGTCTTGATTTGACTCCTCTGAATATGAGCACCATTGAGCGTCTCTTCGTATAGCATTGTATCATACATACTTATTTTCTTGGGACATGCTATTATGGCTTGGATCTAAAATGTCCCCCAAAGGTCTCAGGGGTAGGATAGTAGGGGGATCAAACCCAGGGTCTTCACACTGATCTACATCTCCAGCCCTTTTTACTTTGTGTTTTGAGACAGGGCCTCGCTAAGTTGCCCAGGCTGGGTTTCAACTTGCAATTGATTCTCCTGCCTCAGCCTCCCAGAGTGCTGGGATTACAAGCATTCATCACCACTTCTGGCTTCACTTTCAGAAGTCTTAATAAATAGTTCTTAGGGCCAGGGATTTAGCTCAGTGGCACCACCGCCTCCTCGAAAGCACAAGGTCCTGAGTTCAATCCCCAGTACCAATAAATAAATAAATAAATAAGTAGTTCTTAACTTTAATATAGTAGGATTTGTCACAATTTATGATTGTCATTTTTGTGTTAAAAATAGTCTTGTACTCTGAGGTGAGAATAAATATCCATGTTTTCATGTAAAAGTATAAAATCTTTGATGTTTAATTGTTCGGTGTAGGATAAGGGTGTGTGTGTGTGTGTTTGTGTGTGTGCATGCTGGGGAATGAACCTAGGGCATTGCTGCCCATGCTGGGGAAGCTCTTCGACACTGACTTACAGCCCAGCCCAGCCCAGCCCTGGAACTGACAGCTTTGTACGCAGGAGGTCGGGACCCAGCTTTCCCCGAGTGGCTGAGCAGCTGTTCAGTGCCCCCTCCCCAGGGATCTGTGATGTCTCCTCCATTATGCAGCAAATCACAACACACCACTTCTGTTTCTACAGTCTTTATTCTCCTATGTTGGCTAATTTGTGCTTTGCTAAAAACTGAATTACTATAGCTCTGTACTAAATACATAGAGAATTAATCTCTCCTCCTTCAGAAAAATCTTAGCCATTCTTGGCCCTCTTATCTTCCACATAAAAATATTAGTACCAGGCCAGGGATTTAGCTCAGTGGTCTCACCACCTGCTGCATAAGCGCAAGGACCCAAGTTCGATCCCCAGTACCAAAATATATATATATATTAGTACCAACTCGACAAGTTCCATGCAAAAGACTTGTTGCAGTTTAGGTCACCATTGCATTACATCTGCAGCTCAATGAAAGAATCAAAGGTCAGAGATTGACACAGTCACAGTATTAAATGTTCCAAAAAGTGACTATGAGTGTTTTTCCATTTACTTAAGTCTTCTTTGGTATTGTTCAGTAAAGTTTTATCATTTTCTACGTACTAGTCTGGCTTAATATTTCAATGTATTTATTCCTGGAA